ACTAAGTATAGTAGATAAATGGAGAGGATGCTTACACATATTAGACACTCCATCTTTATGACCTTCCAAACATCCTATAAAAGGTTTTGCAAATACTCTTTCTAATTTTACTGAATTTAAAGCTCTAGTATATTCTCTTGCTGCTTCAAAAGGATGTAATGCTGGATCATAATTCCTAGGTACTATAAATAATGAACAAAATTAATTATTTAATTATCATAACTGTATATAATAAGATATATGATTTATAACAAGAACTTAATTTATTATTATTTTTCATTAATACTAACCTTTATATATGTCACGTTTTGTTTCTCTTAAGTATTCATCAGGATTTCTTGTTAGAATTTTCACCTTCATTTTGTAAATTTATTAATTAAATAAAATTTTTAAAGCATATTTTTTTCATCACAATTTGTCACAAGTGAAATAAACACGTGCATATCTATATATAGAAAATAAAACATAAATATCTATACGTTTTTAAATATTCAATATTTATCATTAAAGTAATATTGAAATTAATATATATTTTATATATTATATAAAAATTAAAAGATATTGTAATATTATTTTTCGTGGACAAATATTAAATTTTTAAATTTAAAGCAAGTATAAACGAATAAATAGAAAAAAAAAGAACACATACAAAAATGATGAAATCAACACCACTTTAGAATGCCATAAATGAAATTTATAAAGAATAGCAACTAGTATGAAAAAAATATAGGATCAGAATTGATCGCGCCATCTTTGAATGCTAAAGATAATTCTTTTAAGAAAAGATAAAATAAAATAAGAATTAACTTTCAGCGCTATTTTTTAAATCATATCTTTATAAAAATATTTTAGAGATAGCGTTGATTCTCGATTCTTGATCTATTTTATCTCTTCTTAGAAGAATCATTGGCGTTTAAGAGGTGGTGTGGATAGTTTTTATTTATTTCTTCTTTTTGTATCATTTTTTATTCTTTTTTTATATTTCATTTTAGAAATGACATTGATCGATAATTTTTATCCTATCATTATTTTTCTGCCATTATTTGCTTTCTTTCTCTATTTGATATCTAATTACAGATGATGAACATAAAATGCTTATTAAACATTTCATGATTTTCTTTTTTTTGATTTAATTTTTCTTAAAATCGTTCTTGTCTTAAAAATTATATTCTTAGATTTACAATGTGTTTCTTGAATAATGTAAAATAATATATTCTGATAAATAATATGAATGTTTTTTGACTCGAGTCAAATAAGTATTCAACAATGATATAAAACAAAAAAAATTCGATTCAACAAAGAAAATAGGAACAAATGTTGAAATATTTTATCGAAAAAAGGATTAGAAAGTTCTTCTTAAAAGAGAATTTTTTTATTTATTCTATTTTTTATTTGTAATTTAATAGTTTCAATTCCAACCAGTACAATGTTACAATCTTATTCTGAATCGAATCGATAATGTTGAGAATGACTTTAAAATGATAAGAGAATCTTTGTGTCATCGAGAATATCATATAAATCTAGGATAAAAAAATATATTGAACGTATATTCTGTACTTCGTCTGTGACATTATGTTAGTAGTACGTAATACGTGACTCGGATAACGTGTGATCGTAAAAAACAGAGCAAGTTTTTAAATACTGTCAGTACAGTATAAATTACAAGAAGTAAGTAATCAATTTTTACAATAATAAATTTAACAATTACATGAACTATTACATTGAAATTGGTTATTACATAAAACAGGAGAATAAAGAGATATATTTAATTGATTGATTGATAATTTTATTATATTAAATATATATTATTAATCTAAATCAAAATATGACTTTTAAAATATAGTCATTCTATTATGAAGTACAACTTATTTATAGACATATAATATATAAAAATCATGAGTACATAATATAAAATTTTAATCTTAATCATTAATATCATATATTTATTACAAAAATAATTAATATAAAAATATCTATAATAGTTATTGTTAATATTAAATAGCATTTAACTTTGATAAAGATTTTTATTATATATAGGATGTTTTGCACAAGATTGATAAGGCAGTTTAATAATAATTTTAAAATAAGACAACTACATTCAACATTTGTTAAAAATGAAAATAAACCTATTACTGAAACATCTAAAGCTAAAACTGAAACAGCCAAAACTACTAATATATCACAAGCTGAAAAGGAAGCAATTGAATTTGTATCAGGTAAAATATATTTTTAGAATGCTTTTGATTTTAATAAAAATATGTAAAAAAAAAAAAAAAAAAAAATTATGTTTTAGGAGAATCTTTATATACTTTGACTAACTTTGATAAAAGAATATTAGTTTGGGTTAAACGTTTTCCTAGTATGGATAAAATTCCAAAACAAGTAAGGTAAGTAAAAATATATTCTCATATATAATATCTATAAAATTAAATTTAAATGCATGTACACATATTTATATACAAATATATAATATAAGTACATTATATTTTCTAAAGAAATATAAAAGTTTACTTATCTTAAAATTGTGTCTATTAAATTTTTTTATTCTTGTTATTCAGTATACGAACTATACAGCTAGCTCATACTAAAGCCAGAATTAAAGTATGTTTTTACATGATGGCTTTTGCGGTAATTGGCTCTATTCTAGCTGTAATAAGTGGTAAAAGAGATGTTGCTGCTGGAAAAAATATAATAACAGAAAGACAAAAATGGTATGATAAAGTGAAAGAAAAAGCTCGAAAAGAAGCCGAAATGGCTGAAAAAAATGAAAAATAGTATTTTAATTTCTTTTAATAATTTAAATTACTTAAATTTTACTTCAATATTTTAAATATTTTTTTGATTAACTTTTTTTCCATATCATTATATTTCATTAGAATTATTTAATCATTAAAATCATTATTTTGATGATAAAATCATTATTATCAGAGATTATTACAAATAATAATTTTTAGTAAAAATAGTATTATGTCTTTATAATATTAATTTGAAGATATTATTTATATCAATTATATAAATAAGCAATTATTATATCTTATCTTAATAAATCAGAAAATTTATTTTTATAACATATATTAATTTTATCAATAGATTAATTTTTAAATTAACAAAAAAATATAAAAAAAAAATGAATGTAAGAATATGATAATAAACAAAATAAGGATGCCTAAAATTTTTTTTATTATTTCCTATATAAATTTTCAAAATGCACAAATGCACAAAAATTGAAAATATTACAAAAAATAAACAAAATGTAATTATAATTATGGGAATTGAAAATTTTTATAGTTTATCATACAAATGCAATAGCTAAACACAATTAAAATTAACATTTTAATATATATTTTGTAGTTAACTTTACAATCATATAAAAAATTGATGTTTTTAAAATATTTTTAAAAAGAGTAACACAAATTTAAATTTCTATATTTGGCGGTTTATAAAAAACACGACATTTATTATAATAAACATCAATTGTATGTTCCTTTACAACTTCTTCTATATTCAATTCTGATTGTAATAGACGGAGAGTGTTTTGTTCTTTTCTTAATGCTTTAAGAAGTTGTGGACTTTCATTACCATTATCTCTTTCAGTCTTTAATTGTTTCACTTTTTCTTTTGATGCATTTAGACACCTTGTAATAGCCAATTCTCTTGTTTTATGGCCTGATTGAATTTTTTCATATAAATCTTTGCATTTTACAGTAGGATCAACTTGTCCTTTAAATGATTCCGTTGGAAGTATGGTATTTAACATGTAAATAATTTTGTCATCAAGTTGACGCATTTTTTTTAATGCATCCTAGAACAAAAATATTTTTAAACATTTTTTGTGCATACATAATATGCATGTAAATAATTATTTTAGATTCATTAATTTATATGTATATTTATATTGAAATTTTGAAATCTGTATTATAAATTATGTGTTGAATATATCTTTAATTTCATTTTTAATTTCATTTTAGTATTTGTAAAATTTTGCATTTTTAAATATCATTTATTATATGAAATATTATAAAAAGTAATATATAACCTTAAATATGTTTGTAATGAATTCTAACTTTATAGAAATTTATAGCTTAATACATATGTTGAACGTAATCGAAACAATTGAACTATATAATTTGAAATATATCATATTTTATAATACTTTCATTTACTACAAAAATACCTGAAACTCTAAAAAATCTCCACATCCTACACTCACGGTTGCCATTTTTATAAAATGGAGATCAAGTATTCAACTACGATAGGAAGTATCGTGATTAAATTATTACATAATATTGTTATCTTTTATTATTGTTACTACTGTAATTAATTATTCAATTTTACTTAATTACATTAAATAATATTTATGGAAATTTTTTTAAATTATATATTTTTATTACATTACATATATGTAGATACTATTTAAATAAAAATATTTATAAATTAAAATAAACAAATAAATTAAATTAATTAAGAAACAACAATTATTCCATTTGTTTAGATTTTAATAAATTAAATGATAATAATATTTTTTAAAATAAAATTTAAATATTAAATAAAATAAAAATAGATCTTTGTACTTGAGTTCAATAATTGGTTATAATAATGAATAATTTAAATTGAAATATATTTGTGAAATTTATAATATTATGAATTGTTTAACAATATAATATACAATTTTTTTAAACTTTTCGAATAATTATTTACATATATTGTAATTAATAATTTATTAATATTTTTATATATATTATTTTGAAAAAAATGTTTAGAAAATATAATTCACATAAATTTATATAAAAATAATATTATAAAAAAAATAAAATATACATAAATAGTATAGTATATTATAATATAAAATATTTTTAAATATGTTTATGAATTATATATTCATAAATGATCTTTAAATATAATCACAAATGATAAACATAAACATAATAAAATTTCAGTATTTTAATAAAAATTTTAATAGAAATCAATATAAAATTTGTTAAATAAGTGTTTCATTATAATTTATTATTTTTCATTAATTTTATTTAAAAAATTAGCATTAAATACTATTTTTTTTTTCTCATTTTTGATGTATTACATTTTTATGGGAAATCCTAATTTATGTAAATCTTTCATCATTGATGATACAATTTGTGTAGATAAAGATTCTAAAGGTGCACGTGGAGGACCAGGATTAATATCTGTTAACAAATTCATTGCCACTTTCATAGTTGATACCCAATTTCCTGTAATAATTGTAATTTTTATACAATTTTTAAAATTTTCTTTTTAAATTAAAATATTATATTATATTTAAATTAAAGTATTATAATATTATATATTATAAAGATTTATTCAATTTGTAAGAAATTTATTAAATTTTTAATTTTTTTCAAAATTGACCATCATGTTTATCAAATTTTTATAAGTCTTACCATATTTTGATATAGCGAGAACAACATTTGTCAAACGTTGTTGCATGTCTCTTGCTTTCATAACATTTCCTGCAAGTCCTTCTCTAAGAGAATCGATCATAAATTCAGGAAGCATATTTGAGCTTGTTGTTATATACGAATCTATTCCTACTGCACAACCAGGATTTATTAACTAAAATAAATAAATAACATTTACATTAAATTTATTATTATTTACAATTAATTATTTATATATTATATATTATTTTATAATTTTTCAAATTCTTAATATGATATTTTCTTGCAAATAAATAATACATACCTGATCATTACCAAGGAATACGACATATTTCTTGTTATTAGCACGAAATGCTTGAGTACCTTCATCTAAATCAGAACTGGTGAATTTTATTCCGACAAATGTTGAAATTTCGTCATTTAGAGATTCGAGGAATTGTCCCATGTGTACTAAAAAAAAAAATTGCGTTTCTAGACATGTTACATTTACATATGGATTTAAAACAATCATAATTATTAACTTACTATTAACATTAGTCATTCTTGGAAAGTGATAATATAAAAATGGCGTGTTTGGAGCTGCCTCACTAACTAGTTTTAAATAATTTTTTAATTGTTCCATTGTTGTTGGTTTAAAGTACAAATCGGGTAGACAGAGAATAGAATCTGCTTTGATGCTTTCAGCATGTTTTGCCTTTGAATAAATATTTTATAAATAAAAAATGTATATATTATATTTTCATAATTAATTAATCAAATTTGAAATTAAAAAAATATTATATTCTTAAAGTAAAATTATAATTCCATAAATTCCATTCATAAATTATGGTATTATTTACGTACAAGTTCGAGAACATCGGGAAGAGATGCACCTCCTACTTGAATCATCAAATGTTGTTTCGTTGTTTTTACAGCATTTGCCCAAGCCTCGGCGACTAATTTTCTTTCAATTAAAGACATGGATGGACCTTCTCCACTCGTTCCATTTACTGTCAATTATTAATTACAATTTATATTTATCGAAATATATATTTTTTTTATTTAATTTTTATTAAATTTTTAGCTGAATATGTAAATTTTACCGAGAACACCATCGATTTTCTTTTTTGCTAAGAAATTGGCGTATTGTGGTATGATAGACAAGTTTAGACTCCTCGAGCTAAAATATGACGATAAGATCATGATAGAATAAAATGTTATTTGTATCTCTGTATTGTATAATATTAAGAAAATTACCTGTCATTATTAAATGGTGTCAATACTGGAGCGATTATTCCCCTGAATGTGAACGCTACTTTCTATGAATAAAAATAAGGAAATATTTTCACTCTTTTCAAATATTAAGAATTTAATATTAAAATATTTATAGGTACTATTGATCGAAACATTTTGAAATATTGGATTAAAGAAATGATTGTTTTTATATTACGTAGTTTTTCAAAATAATTTATGCAATTATTTGATACAATTGATTTATATATTTTTACGTACCGACATTGCGGAGCGTGAGGTAAATTCTAAGAATGTCAATTAAAATATTAACATGAAACTGAACGAAGAGGAATATTTAAACTTTGATAAGATTGTCTCAGTATCAAATATCACGCGTCATATGTTTACTGATATTATGAATTTTTTTTCGTAATAATACTAATAATAAGCGCGTAAATTTCCTTACACTTTTATAATTATTTTATTTCGGCATATCAAGTGACAAACTATTTATTAAACTTTACAAACTTTAAAATAATGTTTTTATAAAAAAAAAACATGAATATAAATTATAATACATATATATATATTATCTTTTCTAAACATTATAAACATTTATGCATTTATTTATTACGCTATAATTTTTTCAGACATGCAAATTTTTAACGATCGCTTTATCTTTTCTTGGTAAATAAAGGGTCAAGATTAATATATTGAACAACAATAATTATTTATAAAAATGCTTTTTATGTTTATTTACATGTAGATTTTCTTTTCCTTTTAACAATGCCAATGATATATTAACACAGTATCGTAGTGATAAATTATACATAAGTTTCAAGATGGCCGCATGCGTTTTCCTTTTTATGGATATAATGAATACCATTATTCCTCGAAACGAGAACGAAGAGTATTCCCAAGTTTACGTAATAACGCCAAAGAGAATTACTATGTAATGTTACTCTCTACGATCTTTTTTCAAATTGTTATTATTCCTTTCTCCTTTTTTTTTTTTTCTAAAATTTACTTATCACTTAAATATAACGAAATTCATGCTACGACGTATTGGCGCATATTAGTAAAAGAATTGTTCTTTTTTATCGATACGTTTATTTTTCATCTACCTTTCGTATTTTCTCGATATTCACGCAATATACTGGATATGATGTAACGATGATAACTATTTATAATAACGTTAGACTCGCCATACCGTATTTTTTGTTCATCATAGACAATGATTCTTGTTTATATTCTAAAAGAGAAATTTGTTTAATCGTAACTTTTTCCCATTCTACCATTGATTTATTATTAATGATTTCTTTTTTAATCGCTCGTCTAAGTATCTCGTCGAATTATTTTCTCACTAATTGATCGATGAGGAACTAAAAATGTATTACAAGAGGATCGATTAATAGAAAATTTATATTTATACAGGAACTAAAAATGTAAGTAACATAATATAAATATTTAATTATCACTGGGTACAAATTAAATTAAGATATATTTAAGTAGAATTATAAAGTTAAATTTTTAGAAATATATAAAATGTTTTTGGAACAAATTTTGGATTTATTCAAATATTTAATTTGACGATTTAATTGTAGGTAAAGGAAAACTTAATTGTATTAAAATTTTAATGAAAAATATATTTGTAAATTTAAATATTTCACATTCCAAAAACTTAATTTTATTAAATGAAAACATCTTTGAGAAGAGTCGATATATTTATTATTTATACCCTAAATTTGTGGCACAAGATATTAAAGCATTACGTTCAATTTCAAATATCGACATATCTTCGTAAAAGTTATGATCTATAATTGCTTCATAAATATATTTATTACCAAATGCAGTGTTAATAATAGTTATACGAATGCGTTACAGTGTTAAGTTATGACGTAACCAGAATGTTTAGTACCTAGAAAAAATGCTTCTTCTATTGGACGTATTATCGAGTATAATTTTAATTAACAGATATATTTCTTTTTTTTTAATAGTCTACAAAAATATAAATTAAATTATATTATACACAATTGAAAATATATATACACAGTATATGTATACATATATATGTACATATGAGAAGAAAATAATAAATAAGAAAAATTTAATAAAAATTTTCATATGTATTTTTTATGTTTATTCAAGGAAAGCATAATTCGTCATCGTTTTGAATTTGCTCAATTTGGCACATAATTGCAATATTAAAATACATATAAACGAAGATTGTATATATTAACAGTTTAAAATGTATTATACATATTAACAGTAAAATACAGTGAAATGAAATATGCGAAATAAATTATAAGTAACGCAAGCAAATTGATCGTTACTTTAAAAAAAGAATAATATACAAGAATAACGTATAATTGGATCGCAATTATTCATGGTGTCGATTAACTACACGATATCGATGAACTAGATCAACATTCAATCCGTTTGCTGTAAAGAATCGAAGTACGAAAGAAAGATATTACTCGTGAACATAAAATAAAAGGATATTTTTAGCAGGAACGATTACTTTTTAATTCTACTTCGAAGTCACTTCTTCCAGCTGGTTACGTTACTACTGTTCGGCGAAAATTTAACAAATCAATTAATTATTTAATGTCTTGTACACGCGATCAATATCAGCAGTCGCAATGACCTAATTTACTAACAATGCACCAAAAAGCCGTCGATGAGAATGCAGTGAAAACGACCCACATTCTATAATGTATATATACGTACGTATGTTAATTAATACATATATGTAATATATGTATATATATATACATATACATATATATCATAAAATTCACACTTGAAAAGATATCTCGTATGAAATATATATAATACATATATATATATATATATATTTCAATTAGAGATTAACAGCCGTGGCCGGACCAGCCTGGTCACGCGGCAGAAACGTCATCGTAAATTGTTTCTTCCTATTAACTTTTTTTATTTTTACTTTTTTTAATTCTTTTTCTATTAATTGTTATCTCTCTCTCTTATTTCCCTTAAATTTTCTTTGGCTTCGAATCGTATTCCGTACAAAAGTGCAGCACATAATTCATAATTAGCTGAATTGAGAATATCTTGTACGGTTTGATCCGATAACAATTGTCGCTCTGAATTTTCTATCACGAATATATTAAGCTTTATTATTCCTTAATTTAACTTCATCGTGCACGACGTTAAATCGTGTTAATTTCTTCCTAATCAATGCATTAATAATTATGTGTATATATATATATATATATATTTTTTTTTTCCCTTTATAATAATAACACTACAAATTTTACTTTTCTGCGCATTTTTACAACAGACGAAAGCAAAAGAAGCTCGTGATTATTATATTTCGGTAACTGTAACAATCTCGTACAATAGGTAAACTTTTATTAGAAAATCGTTTGATCGTGTCGATCCGTTTCTTTAATATACAGCAAAAGCTTTAATCTCTCGTAACGAACTGCAAGTATTTTATATCGATTAACCAGTTTTCCTTTCTTTTAAACAACGCGAAATATTAAACTTCGAAAGCATCGATTGTTATCAAATCACCCGATATCTCTTGATGCACGATTATGCCGTATATGCGTATCCATATTTGCACAGGTATATACGTATACGCACAAACGCATGCAGTTTTTCCTTTGTTTTTTGTTGGTTTAATTATTATTATTATTATTATTACTATTATTATTATTATTATTATAATAATAATTATTATTATTATAATTATTATACGTCGTCAATACATTACGCGCAGATATTTAATGTAAATAACAGCTACTGAAGAACCACGGATATGTACAACAGGGATATGCCCGATCGATACAGGATATTTCTTTCGTATGCACGCCACGTTCTTCGTTTATGTTCCTCTTCGAATTCGATTCGATCAAAAAAAAAAAAAAAAAAAAAAGGATAATCGAAGTTGATCGCCTCAATTTACATTTGTTCCCTCTTCCCTTTATACGCGATCGATCCTAACCATTTAACATTGAACGATACGATAGAAGATAAGATTTGCTTGAATCGAAGCTTTCGGGAATGCAAGTTTGAGAAATGATTTCAATGATTCGGGAAGCCAGCTTTGAATAAAAGATTTTTATCTTTAATTTTTGCTCAGATTAATCGAGATATCGAATTCAAAATATTAAAAAATAATTTGTCTGATCTGTTTATAGAGATTAATAATTTCATGAAAGATTATAAAAATATTGTTTCAAATAAATAAATAGAGCAGGTGAGGAAAAATATTATTTGTTCTCTCTTGGATTGAAAAATCCTCGTTAATTTGAGAGAATGCAACGAGAATGGATAATTCCATTACATCAATCGTTATTTTTTTTTTTTCAATCAAAGATCCGAGAGCATCGATTCAGAAAATCCTAATCCTGATCATAATCCTGATCATAATCATTGTTTCTATTCAACTCGGTGATCCATCAATAATATTTATTTATTGTACGATGATGATATTTAAAATGCAATTTCACGAGTTCTACCAGCTTATTTTCTTTACAATAATTCTACAATTCGCAACGAACGATCAATTTCTACGAATAATTTTTCTATTCGAAGTTTCGAGTGATCGGAGGATAGATAATAGCGTTTAAAAAGTATCCGCCGATTTATTATATTCGCAAAACTCGATCGCGTTTTTTTTTTAAATCTCGTCGAATGTCGATTTCGAGAGCTGTTCGATCTCGTTTCTTTTTTTCTTTTTTGAATCTCTCTCTTTTAAATCCCCCACCCAAACAGTTCTTTCGCATAATTTTCATCGATGAAAAGAAATCTTTTAATACTGTATCGTTTGATTAACCCCGAGAGGGGTCGTTCGAAAATATGATTAATGAGTATGGTCCCAAAAGTTTTAAGAAGTAGTTGTTTCTTATCGCGTGGAATACAACGTAGCTTCCGTCTTATAAATATTTCTCAACAAATCTTCCGGAATCAGCCGTAAAGAAGGGACTTCTGGGCATGTGCGTCGTTACGAAAGGAGAAATCAATCGAATTGCGATAAAATAATTTTGAATAATCATAGGGGAGGAAAAACGATTATAAATTTATATTTTGATTCAATTATTAACATCCTAATGTGAAATTTCACTATTACATAAAATTTTTCCTTGACCATGATTTCATTTATTCAATCTCTTCGGAGGATCGAATCTTTCACAAAAATTGTTCGTGGTAAGTAAAATTTCATTCCACGCATATAATTTTCTTTGCATTTCCTAAGAAAATGATCGTCGAAAATTTAATTCGAACAAAGTTTCAAGGTTTTTTTTTTCAACTCGAAGATCAATGGGATCAAATGGAAATTTTAAATATTGTACATTCGTAGCGACGCGAATGCCTGTGAAAAGTTGAATAATAAATAGTAGCTTGGTACGAGAATCTATCGCTTTTTTTAGTATCTCTTTTCTAACATTCGAAAGACGTCCGTATTAATCGATGATACTCTCGATGCGGGGGTTTTATCCGAGACTCAAGGAGCATCGAAATAAACTACAACAATTAATTATCGTTATTAGTAGCCCTTTGTTGTTGCTTCCTATTATATTTACAGAATGTTCCACGATAGTTTGCTGTACATTACGTAAATACTCGTTTTTTTTTTCTTGGTGTGTAAATACGATTTTCATCGCGTATTTTTTGTTCGCGTAAAAAGTCTTGCATTGACCGTGATATTTATGCTTCCCTATCTCTTTAATAAAGTTTATCTATCGAAATGAATGAAATTAATGTTGAATTGACAGATGCATAAATGTTGCGTCTAAAGACTTATCGAAGATATTTGTAATTATTTATACGAGACATTGTACTTTTGGAGTTTTGTTTTTATTTTATTTTGATTACGTATAATTGGTATTTAATTTTTTTTTTTTAATTTTTTATTATTTTTAATTGTTTCGAATTATCGATTATACATTTTGTAGAAAAATTATATACGATTCACGATTTTTAGATAGATATGTTATAGAGCGTTCAATTTTGATTAATAGATTTTAAAAAAAATTTCATTAGAATTGAAATTTTGTACCAATTTTTCGATATAATTTAGATTATTCGAAACGTGGATTTTCGTACACGTCAAATCAAAATTTGCTATACTAATAAAAAGATACATGAATAATATCAACAGTATTACAGAATAATAAAAAAAAAAAGAAAAAAGAATATACAAAATTTGAAAAATAAAATTTAAATTTAAATATAAAGTTTATATTAATATAAATTCTTCTCTTATTTCTTCATTAAATCTTGGAATTTTGCTTCGAGAATATATATTGTTAGATATATTCGAAAAAAGGGGTAGAATATGGATGAAGGAAGTGGTGTCCAAAAATATATATCGAGGAGCACAGCGACGCCACGAAATTATCTAAAACCATCATTTTTATTTAATTCTGGAAACGGCATCCTGATTCGATAATCGCATTCGATCATAAAATATTATTCATTTCATTTTTTTTTTTTGTTTAAATTCTTCGATTAAACCAAAATTCTTCGATTAAACCACACTCGACAGATTTTTCGTGAGATAGAACGACGCTTCGCCGCTTCTAGAATCAGAAAATTTCTAGAAAATCTCTAGAATCGGAGGAAGAATCAGCGCTTCGAAACTGTCAGTCCATTGAAACTATGATATTCGTTAGGATGATTATGCGTGGAAGACAAAGAAATAATATATTTGTTCGTGGCGTCCCTGCTCCGTGGTAGGTAGATTTTATATATCACCTTATCTTCTCTCTCTTTTTCTCTCTCTCTCTCTCTCTCTCTTCTCTAATTTATCTCCGTGTATTGTACATACAAGAGTTATACCATGAAAATTAGGCAAAAGATTCCGATTGGAAGGAATCGATCGAAATCGATCCATAGATGCACTGTCTGCTCTTTAAACAATCGGAACGACGTAATATTGAAAAAATGATCGATACTCCTTGGTCTCATATATTTTTATAATCTACAATAATAATATACTCGCAGTTATATAATAGTCGAGGGATAGGGAGGCATTATTATTATTATGATTGTAAAAGTAACATCGATCATCTACATTTTTTCTCTTTCTCTCTCTCTCTCTCTCTCTCTCTCTCTCTCTCTCTCTTTTTCCTTTTCACCAATATCAACAATATATATTTATTAAATACTAAATTATAAATATTGAATTCTGAGTAGCAATGAATTCACGCGCCGTAAAGATCTCTGGTTTCGTTTAGTTTCGCGCAGAAAAATCTCTGATCCTCGGATGATCATCAATTAACCAAGAGGATATATATATATATATATATATATATATGTACATATATAATATATATTGCCTGTATTTCGTTCTCGTTAACGAATTAATTAAAAACAAATCTTCACAGTACGTATGAAGACTAGACTTGATAGCTTCGTTGAATGTTCGTTTCATTCAACGCGATCGATGGGAACATGGAAATAATACTGTTGTTTCATATCTTTATTATTATTATTATTATTATTATTATTATTATTATTAAATACTAGAGCTGTAACAAGTTAATTTTTACTTTGTAACTCTTTTTACCCCTTCACTGCGCGATTTCGAGAATTTGTTTTTTCCATTTTTTTTTTCCTTTTCTTTTCTTTTTTTTCTCTTTTTGATCTACGATGAATCTCTCGGTTAGAATGCCGCTTTGTTCGATTATGGACGAGTTTAGTGTCGTGTTCGTATAAAATTTTATATATATCTTACTTGAAGTGCGTCTCTAAACATACATCGATGATAGAGCTTGACTAGACGTCTCGTTCGTCATTTTTTTTCTTTTTTTTTTTTTTTTTTTTTTGTTTTACTTAGACGTAGATTCTTACTTTACGTTGCTACTTTGTCTTCTATAAAGTGGGGAGGGGATGGAGCGATGTGGAAATAAAATATTAATCTTATGAGGTATGTAACGCGTGTAGAGGAGATAGAAAATTATGATATTATGGAAATTTTATATTTCGTAGATGAGATAAATAAATTTGATATATCCTTTTTTGTTTATTTGAATGTGTTCTTGAAAAAAATCATGCAGTCAAGTTTGTAACGAGAGTTATTTTCAAAGTTTTTTTCAAAACTTTGTTGTAAAAAATTTGTTGGAAAAGCAATAAGAGAAGCAATTCGTTATTGTCTTTTTTTTTACATGAAAAATAATCAAAATATAAAAAAGAGCGAATATTTCGATAAGTAAAAAGATATTGCAATATTTCTGTTAAAAAAAGTAAAATTTTTACAAAAAAAAAATATATATATATGTATATAGAATTAAATAATATTCTTTGATTGTCAGAATTTTAATGGAAATTTAATATTTGTGACTGCATGATCGATATGCATTGATCGTGATATTTATAACAATTTTGTCGAAGATTATTATGAGTAAAAGAACTTCTAAAAACGAGTCAGGTACTTAAAGTGCAAGCGTTAATTATTCGAAGGACAAGTCAATGCTTATAAAAATGAATCAGGTCCCGCTGTAAGTTATATCCATATTTTGAAAATTGAAAGATTGATCGGCTTCATTTTCGAAAGAAAATTAAATGCTCAGTAGATTTTCCACCGTAAAAATCCCCCTATATTATTGATAAAAGCCACATTTCGAAGCCATTTTTCCTCACAATGTGATACGCAAATGTTCCTTTCAATAGAGTTACATATAAATATACACGTGTATTAAAATATATTGTATAGATTAAAAAAATATATACATATGTATAAAAAAATATGGAAAAACAGATGTACATTAATTTACAACCAAAAGAATCAATCTAATCGAAATTAAAGCTTGCGATTAAAATTATCTTTCTTTTTTTTTTTATTATTATTATTATTATCTTTGGACTATCCTTCGGTACTCTTCTCTTCAAGGAACTCATTTTCTTGGAGATCATGTAACGTTTGTATATTTGTATAATATCAATATGACTAGAAAAGTGATGATGATGAACAGTTAAAAGTAACGAATTGTCAAGGATACTATATCAAGTTATATTAAATTCATTTTCAAAGCTTTTAAATAAAAGAGGAGACAAATATATCCACTGTTCAGTGGTATCAGTGTGACGAAACAGATATGGACGCGTACGAAATCATTGATGAGTTTCATAAAAATTCGAGGCAGCGCGTAATATGCGTTAACAGGATTGTTCGAACGTATCGTAGCTCGCTTTCCTATCTCTCTTTCTCTCTCTCCCTCTCTCTCTCTCAAACTTACATTCAACTCCAAACACGAGCGTGTCTTTTTGCAATTTTTCTTTACGTCCAATCAAACTCTGTCTCAACCGATGATACTGTTCGTCGCTAACACCGGTTCCATCTCCAAGTAATAACGTTTTTTAAAGATCCAGATTTATAGCATATTTTAAGCAGTGTTGAGTACAATTAGGCATCTTTTTTTTCCTTTTTTTTTTTTTTACTAATACCATAACCGGTTCCAATGCTGGTTATCGAGTGGAGTGTTTCTTTTCTTTTCTTAAAAAACGACAACATTCGAAGGCTCCCACTCGCACCTAATCTCGATTCTCACGTTTCGACCCCCTACGATGCAATGCAATTCTATCAAACTCGTAAACTTACGGTTGGTTTCTCCGAGTGGCGAAGATCGAGGATATCGACGTCGCCCTTGACTGCCACTATGACTTCCACACCCTCAACTTCCTCAACGACACTTTTTTCAAGTGGAGGGCCGCGTTCAAGATATCGGACTCGCGGGTATCCTCGCCATCGGAGTGAACTTCCCTCCTACGGCCGTGCATCAGCAGACGATGCCTGAGCCCTCTGGAGGTCGGGTCGGAGAGGGCTTCGGAGACAGGGACCTTCTCCTTGCTGGAACCGGGCAAGGAGACCGACCTCCCCACGGAGAAACCTTTGCTGAGCCTGTCCAACGTGGCCGGCAACAGGTGACGCCTGGGTATCGCTTGCTCCCTTTCCCTCATGATGAATCTTCCCAGGGTCTTCCAAAAGGCTTGGGTGCTGTACACGTTCTCGTCGTCGCGCAACACCCTCAGTTGGCGGCTGCCGCTCCCAACAGCCCCGGTCCCACCCCATTCCAGCTCCTCGACCAAAGCGAACTTCATCGGGTCCTCCATCCTTCTCGCTTTAACCAGCGCCTGGGCAAGAACGTCTTGGGCGGAACTGCTGACGGGCACGCGGAGTATCGCGTACGGTATGTCGGGCGACACGTTGTAGACGCAAACGAGAAACGTGTCAGCCTCGTCCCAGATATGCGTCGACGTGTCCCTCTCGGAGTCGAGCTTCGAGTGGCCGGCCGTGCTTCTGATCGAGGCCAACCATGCCCTGCTGCTCGGGTCGTCGCCCACCCTCTTCAGCAGAAAACGGCCCTGCCCCTTCCACAGAGCTTGAGCTTGCAACGGATGCTCCGTCGGATCCAGCACCCGTTGGGTGGGCAGTTCTTCCCTGTCCCTCTTCTCCCAACCGCAAGACACCTCCTCGACGAGGATGTACTCGTCGACGCGGTCCGCGGATATTCCAGCCTTTTGAAGAGCTTGCAGCATCACCTCCTGCGTGGTGCTCTCCTGCGTCACCTTCAGTATGGTGTACGGTTCGTCCGGTATCACGTGATAAACCATCAGGAAGAACATTCTCCTCTTCAACGTCACCCCGCCTAGTCCAGGGTCAACGGTGGTCAGTTTTTCCGGCTCTTTGCCGGACGAGGGCCGCTTCGACGACTCCTTGTGATCCCGGCAACACGTGTTGTAATCGAGGCTCTCCTCCTCCAAACGGGAATAGATAAAAAGCGTGGACAGGGCCAAAGGTTTGTTCTTGCAGGAGCGTAGCCTCACGTGCCTGTAGCCGGGCTTCAAGCACTTCAACGGGATCACCCTTTGGGCGATCAAGTGATGGGAACTCGCTTCCACGATTCCGAATCGCAGAAACGCGAGATCTTTGAACATTACTTGGAAGCAAAATTTCTCGTTCCAAATAGGATTGAGCGCGTTGTTCTGTATTACTTTCGTTTTATGCTTGGCGCAATCGATCGGTATGCCGACCAGCTCGATTTCGACGTAAGTGCTTGCCACGAAATTCGTTGGAGAGACGTACTGGCCGGAAACTATAGAGAGCGTCAGATGTGCCGAATGCAGTCCGTCGAATTCTTTGTCCCATGGATTGAATCGTCTGCAAAATCAATTTTATATATATTTCTTTTATACATCGAGCGAATGTAAGCCAAGATATATATATATATACACATTTCGTTACATTTCAATTCGATTCAATTGGTAATCGTACCTGTACATCATGTGACCCTTGTCCCACATAACCGAAGGTTTTCTAACGTATCCGCACTGTCCATTTTGCTCGAACATAGCAGCGTTCAGATTCAGCCCAGCGTCGTCCGTTTGATAATTTAGCGCCACCATTTGAATACCGAAGGCCCAGAAGATTACAGGATTGAAATTCGTCGAGTCGATACGCATACCAGCTGGATACGTTCGTATCAATTGGGTTTCTGCATGAGCGACAACCCCTAGAGGTTGTTTCCTGCATATCTTTTTCGCCGTACTTTCATTCAGGGAGGAGCATTGGAAGCAAGCTGGAACTCCACGAGTGAATCTGAAATGTTTACGGAGAGTGTTTATATAGATAGTAAATTTAAATTTTTCTGCGCACGCAATTTTTTACATCGCACGAAATTTTTAAGTGAAACTTTTTTTCATTTCGAAAGCGCGAGAAAAAATTACAAATTTTGTCATGAAATCTAGAATATTTTGAATTATCTGGATATCTCGATCGGTTGCCAGGATATCGTAAGGATTCAAAGATTTCCATAATAATTGAGAACGAGATCGCAAACAAGTGACCTACATTTTTTCCTAGAAATGCGTACTACTTCTAGGAATCGCTGTCTGTCACTTGTTTGGAGTTTGATAATTTTTGGGTAGGTCAATGAGAGAGATTCGAGTGACAAGGACGGAGATAGCGAACAACCAAAAATTATCCTTTTCTTTACACGACGATACCTCGGCAACCGGAAATCGTATCGGGACAAAGTAAAAAATGTTTCCAACGATCGTTCATTCATTAATCGAAAATAATTATCTTCGAAGTTGCGGAGGTTCAAAGTTTTAATAGGATTTAATCAGATTTAAGATAAATAAAAGTCTCCTTTTCCTTTACACGTTGATACTTCGAGAACCGGAAGTCGTATCGGGATAAAGTAAAAAGTATTTCAAAGAGGAAGGTTCTGCTTCTGCCAATAATCATTTACTCGTTGACGGAAAGTAATTATGTTCGAAGTTACAGCGATTCAAAGTTTTCCAAAGATTAAAAATCATTCATTTCCTTTTCTTTACACGCCGATAATTCGAGAACCGGAAGTCGTATCAAAATAAACCAAAGAACGTTTTAAAGAGAAATATCCCGCGATCCTTCGTTCATCAATCGGAATTATGATTATCTTCCAAGTTTTAACGATACGAAATTTTTCTAAAATTTTAACAAAGTCTAATAAATCGAATTCGTTAGAGAATTCATGCCTATGTGAATATGATCGATTTTCAATGGTAAAAAAACTAACCTGAACAGATTTTCAATATTGCTCCCGCCGCTCGCTAACGAAGCCGATGTCGACAGGGATTGTGGTGAACCGGAAGATGCACCGATGCTGGTGGCTCCTATTCCAGCTATACTGTGCCTCTGTACAGGCCCAGTGTGCGGTTGATGACGCGTTTTCCCGATAGCCGCGGTTCCCGGCGTCGTATTCAGCCCACGAAATTTAATAGCCTGCAGATAAATCACCAAGTCCGAAAGTTCTTTCGCTATTTGGCTACTTTGTTTCTGTGACTTATCGTCGACCGCGGAATCTGATTTTAACCGGGTATGCGCCACCTGCGTCCCGCCCAAATACCTTTCGTAGCTGGAAATGGAGTTATCTGTAAAGGTAAAACTTTCGTGTTAGCTTCTCTCCACTTTAATCAGTTTACTTCTTGCGCTCGAGATAGTTTTCGAGATCAGTTTGGTTTCGAGATTGATACGTAATCGAATTATACGATTATAATTAAATTAGGGGAGGGGGAGGGGTGAGAATGGACAAGCAATTTTAATAAATTTCGACACAAGTTCGAAACAAGTTTTTGTCGAGACCAGATATCGATTCGAAGAGAAAAATATTACCATCGATGTTGTCGTCTTCATCGTCATCTTCCTCGTCGTCGTCATCCTCGCTGAAATATTCGGAGACGACGGAAGGGCTGCTCACATCGGTGCGCATCTGTTTCATAGACGATGCGCGATCGGTCATCAGCATTTTTCCACGATGGCTCAAAGGAGGATGCGCCAAAGGGCCGGCAGGATCCACCACCAGTTTTTTGTTCTTGATTAATATTCGATAGCGCAACTGCGACGGCGATGGCAGTTGGGGGTCGTCGCTGAAATCGGTCTCGAACAAGAACTTTGTCACCAGTTTGTCCCCAAATACCGACTGAAATATAGTACAATAATTTGGTACAGTCAAAGTTTGTTTCTCTGTAAAATATCACGCAAAAAAAAAAAAAAAAGAAAAAGAAAAAAGAAATAAATTATAAAAGTTTTTAAAATAGAAGGGAGGGTTATTTATCAAAATTAAAATTACTATTATTAAGGTTATTTTTTAAAATGCGCAATTTTAATGATACTTGTTTCATAATTATTTAAAAAGAAAAAACATGGTTCAACATGTTTCGCTTAGAAAAACGCACGTGTTAATTAATACAAAATATTCGAAACATAGGATGAAAGATGACGTACTTGAAATATTTGGGCCATTCGAGCTTGTTGGCTTTGCGAACAATGATTTTCGATGGAGAGGATGACAGGATACGGGGAACTGACGAAAGCACTTCTATCAATCGCCTCTACGACCGAGCGAAACGGTATCTTGGTAGTGAAAGTGTGACCATGGTAAATAACTGGGGATCCATCATCGCCATCCCAGCAATCGAGTTCTACACACCTACATCCTGTTAGTAGTACCTGGAAAATGAGCTTACCGTCACAGGCTTATCGTCCATCGTTTTATTGCGGATTTTATTTTCTGAGAATTTTTTCTTTCACGTATATCTTCACTGACACATTAATGTTCAACGCATTTTCTATCATTGAAGAAACGTTAATTCGTTTATTCGTTATTTTTCACGAGAATGCTATTTATTTCATACTTAATTATTTATTTACAGAGAAAAGATTTATATTTTTAGTGTGATTCGAATTTAGAGTAATAATAGAGAAAGTTGAATCGTTCTATCGATGTAGTTCTTGGAAGGTTCTTTTCATTATAGCGATGGCAAAGTATACGTATTTCTTATCTTGAATTCAATTCTTAATTTTTCCACGAAATTCTCTTACATTTTTCATGGAATTTTCTAATCAAACACTTTTTTTCTTTCTTCCTACTTCTTTACTTTCTCCATCGATTTTATATACTCGATATAATCCAACCAATTTCCGATATCCAGATCCATTCTTTCAACTTCGTCAATTTTTCTCTTCTCCAACAATAAGAAAAGCTTATCTGACGTTAAACGACAATCAAACACGAGTCGAGTAGAAAAATCTTTCTTTCTTTTCGAATCGAATCTTTTGGCACAATGTTTTAAAATTATCTAAAAATTTAAGATCTACAATCTTCGAATATATTTAATTATACATTTAATTCTTGTTTCCTTTTTCCTTCTCTTTTTTTAATTTCTTTTACATCTTTTCACAAAGGCGAAGTTCCCATTTACCTGAGAGTAAAGCTGGACCGAGGATTCTCCTTTGAGTTGATGACCTGTTAAATAAGTATTATGCGAGCTGGCGATGTAATACTGGGACAATGGCTGTTGCATTTCAGTCTCGAACGGCGTTGCATACTCGTTTGGGAAAGCATAATTGTCCTTGTCCATCATGTACCGTGCAAAGCCCTCGAAAGACAAACACCATTGTGTACGTAGCCCTGGGTCCGGCTCGTGTCGCTGGAATCAGAGCAAATCGTCTCGGTTGATTGTGCTGCTCTGCAATATCTTTGTATGCCATTGTACCACAACAGCATAACCTCAGAACGGCGGAACAATGTCATTGATGTTACGCATCCTAATTTGAAGTAATCAACCGCATTACGTGACTTGTTGGATGTAGGAAAATATCGTGACCTGCGATTCACACGATCGATACACCTGATGTGCCTCGAAATGCCTGGCATTTCTCGAATGATGAAACTTTCTACGATGAAAAAGAAGAGAAAAAAAAAAAAAAAAAAAAAAAAAAAAAAAAAAAAAAAAAAAATATCTAAATTTTAAAATCAATTTACACGACGAAATAATTTTATATTTTGGCATTGTATATCGTCAAATATCATGCGCAAACGATGTGAACGATGAAATAATATTATATTGATTTTTCATTATTTAAATTGTCGTTCAATGTCTACCAATGTCAATTCATTATATATTTTTACTCGAAATATTTTTTTATATAATATCATCGTATTAACTGCGATTGTTTATTCAATGTGTTCAATGCGTATTTCCATATTTCGTTTGAATATATATTATTTTCTTTTCTTTTTTTTTTTTTTTAAATAAACAACCGTTTCGTCACGCTGCAATGAATATTCACGATATTTTATTCGCATAATTTATATATATATATATATATATATAAAAAATAAAGTTCTCTTTCGTTTATTTTTATTCTATAAATAAAAGAAGAAAAATAAACGATTATCGATTTATTTTTTCATGGGCGTTGAACTTTTTTAATTTGGACAAAAGTAAAAGAAGTTCGTTATGTTTCGATATATTTTTACGTTACCTTGACCAGCGCCTTGATTTCATCGTCGGTCAATTTCTCTTGTTGACGAGATTCCAAAAATTTAGTGAACGTCGCCAGGGTGATTACTTGGGATTTCGAGGTATCAACGCCAGAACAATTATTAACGATACTGGCTGCAGCCACCGCGTCAAAAACTTGCTTCTTTTGAAGGTTGCTGCTGGTTTTGTACTCACGACAGTCTATGGAATTATTCCTCGTTAAAAGACCTGTTTGGACGATATTTTTGATCAGCAAAATTGAAAAAAACAATCTATTCGTGAAACTTGTCTTCGAATTCTTTACAACACGTTTCGTTTTGAGAAATATTAATATAAGAGAATAATTTATCGAAATTTTAATTTCATAGCATTTTATTCGATAGTATTTTGAAAGAAAAATTATAATTGCTTGACACATCCGATGCGACATCGCAGATCAGAGATGATGGCGGATATCGATTTTTTTTTTTGATACGAAAAAAAACAGTGGAAAGGATGAAAAAATACAACGAAATTCAAAAGAATTTATCGATCCTCAAAACAAATGATATGCAAATGGAAGACTGAATGATCGAAAACTCTTGTTCGCATCTTTTATATTTCTTAAAAATATAATAAAATCGCATTGAACGTGTCAATGTAGAATTAAAAAATTGAAATTTGTAAAAAAACTCGAGATCGAAACCACTTGTCGTCTAGAATATTGTTGATAATTAAATTAACGATATATAAAATAACGTAAACTGACCGATTCGTTGAGGGGTCGCATCACTGGTCTGTCTCAACACAGGCGGGCGTACATTAAAGTCTCTCAAAGAGCCGTCGCTCTGGCTACGGCAAGTGATCGCAAGTTGGCCGAATAAGTCGCGCAAATCCTTTCTCGCTCTCAGGCTGAACGAGCGGAACAAAGCGACGAACTCGACAAAGTTCAACTGCGTTTCGTACATTATGGAAGTGGTGCGCGCTTTCACTTGCCAAGGTGCCTCCAGCCCACCTGACATTCCCGATCCATTCTTATCCTTGTCTCTAGCGACGCACAATAGGCTGTGTGAGTACCATTTGAAACAATGTTACCGGATGTTACGATTTATTTCAATATCTTTTTAACAATTAATAATGCAATTAATAAAAAGATCGAGACGAGGGTGGATTATTACTATTATTATTATATAAAGTTCGAAGATAAGTTCGCGATGCGAATTATTCTTTGAATTAAATTTTTATTCTCTCGATAAAGAATCATGGATGAAACTCTCCACGATGCAATGTTAAAAGTAAAGTTTTACTGAATTTTTGGAATTTCAATTCGTTAAGAGAGAGAGAGAGAGAGAGAGAGAGAGAGAGAGAGACTAGAAAATACGCGTATTTGATTAATTAATTAATTTAATTTCACGAAACACGGAAAATATAAAATTAATTTATAATATTATATAATCAGAGATTTAATTAATTCGCAAGACGAAAGAGTTGATTTTACGTAAAAAAGGAAAAAGAAGAAAAAGAAAGGCACGAGTGTCTTTTTATCTCGGTTCGCTGTGCTGTTGATGTTGCAGCTTTAAGGAATAATGGGGTGCAATTAATCGAGAGGGCGGAAGTAATCAAGAACTATCGGGAATTTCTAGAGTTTGAAAAGTCGAGTTATTCTCTACTTCTCTATTCTTCGCCTTCTTCTCGTCCAATTCCTTTCAGAGGGGCGAAAATTATCGGAATCCTTACCTCTGAAAGCTGGAGTAAGGCAAGTTGGAACTAATAATTCGTTCGGCTGATCCGGGAGGGCTGCGTGGGGGTACTCGATCCCTGCTAGACCGTGGGGATGCCGGTATGATTCTCGTCAAGGATTCCCTGCTACCCGTAATATGCCGAAGTGGGGCCGTTGATAAGCCTCCATCCGAAGACGAGGAGTCGAATTGCTTTAGGCTCAAATCCTGTTTTAAACAATCACGCGTAATATCTTATTAGATGAGAAATCCCTCGAACGAATTTTTATCAATTTATTTTTCCAATTTACTTTTATTATTCCATTCGAATCGTCCAATTGTGAATTGACTCGAAGAATAAAATTTTCCATCCGAGCGTGATGGAAATTCTATGTATCAAATAATCACGTGTAATATTATTTTTTAACGAAAACTTGCCTCAAACTTATTCGATCAAATTATCAAAATATTCGAATTTAAAAATTAATTTATTAATCGTCTAATATTTAATAGAGAGTGAATCAGTATAATCAGGGAATATAATATTTATATTATAGAAAGAAATGATACTAATGATAGAGAGAATACGTGAAACGAACCTTTGTTAACGCGTGAATATTGCCGATGGATTTCGTTTTCTTCCCTTTGGCGTTTCGTTTACGAAGATTACCGCTACTCGTCGGTGAAAGCGTTCCAATACTTTCAGTCATGGACCAATCGCGACCGCCGAAAGCCCTTATAGCGTCAGCTGTCATCGGCTCGAGGCAACCTTCCTCGAAATAAAGCTGAAGATATTTCTCTTTCAACCATCGCGACCTACGATCCGTTAATTGTTGTTGCCGCTTCAGGCCTCTTAATATCCAACAAAGACCCATATACCAAATTCTGAAACAAATACGATAATCGCGCTATAATATATATATATTTATATTAATATGTTTATTCTCAATAAGTATGTATATTCGTCTATAAGCAGATGACTGTACGCGATGGATGATCGAACGAGAATTTCACGTTTCGTCTTTTTCAAGATTTTTTTTTTACATATTGGTCAGAACTCACGTGGCTCTGCTTTACAATGCGATGAAATTGCATCGTATCACTGATAACGACTCGCAAAATTTCCACGTGCAAACATCCGCGCGTGTAAATTACGATCACCGAGATTGTGATCAATGGATTCAATCGGCGATTCCAGATCAATCAAGATGTAAAAATTGAGGTGATATTCGTGGAATTCGTAAAATTTCGACTCGACATAAGCTTTTATTATAAAAACTGACTACGTGTCTTTAAATTCTCGACAAAATTCACGCGAGAAAAATCTAAATCTGAAATCTTTATTCACATTCTGCCACGTGTGTCTGCCACGTGTCTGGATGGCACGTTTTTCATACGTATTACTGTAATTCCTGTGATTTATTATGATTAAATTCCTTGCATAGTATCCGAGAAACTTTATTTTCGTGTTATGGAGATTCTCTCTAAGATTTTGAAATCGATCGACATTCTCCTAATTCCATACACTTTATCTTGTATTTCAATTTATTTTTATATATACAGGTACGTACAACTAGTATTTATGTCGCTAAGGCTAACTAAGTAGTCCAATTTTGTTTCGATCAGACCACTATTTTTTATATTTTTTTTTATCAAAGTCAATTTTTATCGTTACACGTAAATACTTTATCCCGTAATAGATTGCCTTTTTCTTGGGATTACCGTTTGCAACGTTGCATCATTACACGTACCCTTATCTGAAATCCAAGGTACAATCCAAAGTTGTTCAAGGGAAACGAGAAGTAGCAACGAAACGGTAATAACTCCTTCGAGTTACCAGTTCTCTCTCTCTCTTTTCTTCTTCTTCTTTTTTTTTTTTTTTCAAGAGTACCATATTCGTCAATTTACGTAGACTCGATAAAATAGCCATTCTGTGCACGATCCACAAGCTACGGTATTAACGTTGGATAAAGGTTTGTCGTAACATATATTCCCTGGAAAAAATGTGTGCAACGTTTCGCTGATCTACAACTCTCTCTTCTAACATGATTTAAGGATAATCTCTGCCGTTACAAATTTCAACAGCTTTTTAAATTACGACGTAATTCAAAATTGAAAATACTTTAAAAATTACGATGAATAAAGTATTTAAAAAGTTAGAAAATTGTGATTCATCGTGAAATATACGTATTGTAAATATCTGAAGCGTGTAAATTGAATTGAATAATTTGATTCAAGTTAAGACCTGTTTTGTTACAAATTATGCAATGCACAAGAGACGTTAGAAGATGGATCGATATTCGCCATATATAAGCGTTTCTAAGTAAGTATGATGTATTACAGATGTTTCCATAAAAGATTTCTGGTATATTTTATAAGTCCATTTCAAAGATGTTTCAATAGAGAGACATTGGATGAGATGCTGCAAGTACTTCTCCATTGCCATCAAAGGTATTTTAAAACGCATATATATACGATTCAGATCTGTTTCAAAGGAGGCATTCTTAATAAATACCGTGTTTCAGAGATGATACTTTTGAAATTGATATTAAGAGGTTATATCTTGAAAATTGTATATCGCGAAGAAAAGCATGATTAACAAGATGATATATTTATCATCGAGCAATAACCAGAAATGAATTTTTCGTTCAAGATATACAATAATACATGTACATTCGTAAATTCGTCATATATAACATTATAATCTAAACATTAAATGGCATATAATCACGATTATACGATACTGAACAAACAAATTATCCTTTTTTCCTTTAAAATCGATATATTCTTAATCACTTACTACCCAACATATTTCTTTTCTCAAAAACAATTTTATTCGATTTAAAATATCTTCACATCTCAAAACCATTCAAAATTGTTTCATTCCTTTAAAACAATAAAATATATTAATCAATATATTCAATTTTCAAAGTTAAGGATAAAGTTACTTTATTATTATTCAAAGCATCGAATAACCGAATACATATATACCAAACAAAATTATACTGATCAATTATAATATCCACGAGTAAATATATCGATCAATTTATAATTAATATCAATCAAAGTAACTTTATCCGAAATTTTTAACTAGAGTTTACTTTCTCGAATGGAGAAAGAGACCTCGAAAAGAGCGAAGAAATCGTAGTGGCGCGCTACTTACTTGCTAAGCGCAGGAGGGCAAAGTAGAAAGATCAGTCGATTGTCCGGCAGGCTGGAGCCGTACATAAGGCCGATGCACGAGTCGGATCCGGACAGGCCGTACCTCTTGCAAATGCTCCTCAACTCGGTCTCCCTGTCCCGGTCGCAGCAACCGATCATCACCTCCTTCACGGAGCTCAGGTTCAGGTAACCCTCCTCCAACGTGACGGAGGCGCAATCGGCCTGTTGCTGGGCGGTGTACTTGGACAACAGGCCGGCCGGCACCGTGTCCTCCGGATTGGCAGTTAGGGAGAACTCCGTGGACGCTGTGCCGCCTAATTGCGCGGTCTTCAACGGGCTCCACGGCGGTTTCTCCCAGACGAAGGTGCCGCAGGCACGATCCACCCGCGCGAAAACCAACGCCGTCCTCGTGGCGCCGCCCTCGCAGTCCCAGTGCACCAACGTCGTCCCGTGATGCAACACCTAACCGAATTTTTTCCTCATGTTATGTATACACGTTTTTACACACGGAATGTGGATAGATCAGAGAAATTTGTGGAAAGAACGGAAGAACAGTTTTATATATATATATATGTTTTTAAGATATATTTAAACGTATAGAGGCCTCTCTTGGAGCGTTGTCCTCGAAAGTATTAGAAACTGTGAATTATATTCTTAGGGCGGTGTGTACATGTTAAAGTGGAGCTCTCGAGGGTTGTTCTCGAAACTATTAGAAACTGTGATTACATTCCTAGGTTTGAGAGAGAGAAGTTTGGAGAGTTGCTCACCGGGGAATATTTTTCGCCGAGTGGACACTTTAGTGTCGAGTGTTCGGGAATAATTTTCAATGTACAAATGTTAATTTTATTATCGAGATGATCACTCCCGACTCGTATTCAAGAATTGAGAAAAGAAGATAGGGTTGCGTATTATTTTTGCAATTGTTTATCCTGTAATTATTTATTTAAATGTGATTAGATAAATTGGATTAATACATAAAAAAATAAAATTGAAAAGGAAAGAGGGAAATAATTATGTTTAATTTAATGCTTGGTTTAATTTGTAAATAATTTTCTTTTTCCTTCTTTCTATACGAAGAACATAGGAGAAAGAGTTGATAAATGCACTTTGACTTTTTTATACGATGCTAGTTTATGATACTTGAATACACGAAATGCACTTGATGTCCGATGTATTTCCACTATATTCTTTCCTTTCACGCACATTTTTTTTTTTTATGATTTTACATCAGAAGAGACTCTTCACTTTATACCTATACACTCTGCATGCATATAAAAATTGCGTGTACATCACATTCTTTCTTAAGATATCTTGTTTCTATCTTGTTTCGAGGATCACGAGCTTTGGTGTAAAGAGAAAGAGATAAAAAAAAAAAAGAAAAAAAAATAGCGAACACACCAATGCATACTTCCACTATGAACAATTCCTTTCTCCAAGTTAAACCCTCTTTCGTTAAATTAAAAGGAATACATCGACCCAGATTATTTTTTTTTCTTTCGTTTCTTTCAGATGCTCTTAAAACGAGAACGATCACATTCATAAAGAAGTTAAAATTTGCATCAATTGATTGAGCACAATTAAATCAAAAATAGAAGAAAAAGAATACATGGCTACTTAAACTTTGAAGAATATCGAAGATATTACGATTGAAGTACATCTTGATTGGAGGGACACTGATTATATGATATTTCTTTTTGAACAATCGTTAAACTTGTACAAAACTTATGCTAATTTCATTTCTAAAGTGTACATCCCTTTAAAATCATCCATTATTTTATACGCGTGTTTGTAAACGCTCAGTTCGTTCGTTACCAGAGGCTAAGACCTTTAGCAAAGAATACGCCTTTGGGCAACCGAGATCGAAACCGAGTTTATTGAAGATTAAATGAACATTTGCATGAAACCGTTCCTAACTTGCTTTCCCTTAACCTGTATTGGAATTGTAATCAGAGGCCGATCCCAATATCTAATTGTAAGTTTAAATCGAAAAATATCGGGTTGCTGTTTCCGATGCAAAGAGGGAGAATAAATGGATAAATCTTTTCCGGATATATCGTTAAACACACATTTATTCATAATTCCGAGCAAATGTTTGTTTAAATATTTTTATTCCAATTTCGTGTCGATAAAGATAATCGATAGATGCGTAGAACAGGTGAGAAATTTGATTTTTGATTGTTGAAAAAATTTTTTCATTATCGTTTAGATAGATGTATAAAATATAAAATTATTAAAAAATTTATTGGAAATTACTGGATCATAATCAATAGTGAAATCAACGAAAAATTTGTAAACGTTTATTTCGAAGTAATATTTGTTTTTTTCTTTTTCTTTTTAAGAAAATTCATTTTCATAGAAATTTTACGAAAGATAACTCTGATAGTGATGAAAAAGGTACACACAATATGGATGTGTATATGCATATAAATTGACAAGCAATTTCAACAAACAAACTTATTTACATATACACCTGTTTCAAATCCCTTATATTTTTAAAATACTTCAAATTTCACTATAAAAATTTCATACGGTTATTACAAAAAATGTGATAAAGAAAAAAAAACTCGACAACATCATATTTTTTTTTACTTAATTAATTTTAATCTGATCCAAAAATGTACCTTCCATGTACATATATTCAATTAAATTCATCGAAGAAAAGAATCGAAATATCTCCAATAAAAATTAAAAATATCACGCTGCGTATCAACCAACTATAAAAAAAGAAAAGACAAAAATCTTTAAAAATCCTTCTCTCACGAACTCATCAATTTTTCCTCACATCTTATCGTCGCATTTATCTCGGCAATGATATCTCGCGAACGAGAAGTTAATCCTTGAGCCGGCATCTTAAATTATTCATCGAGATTTCATTAAAATCCGTGGAAGAAGAACGTAACGAAAGCACGAAAGATAGCCGCGAAAATCTCGCCACGCAATTCCACCGGGTATAATCTCTGGCTATTAAGATCGTTTTTAGCGGGATCGTATCAGGCGCAGTTGCGGCGCACCGAGTCGTACTCGCGGGAAAATCGGCATCGGCCACGGCTGTATTTATAATAGGCTGATGGAACTTCTAATGCACTTGGAACAACCAACGTTTATACGGTGGTCGGCCATAAGTGCAATCCAAGCGATCACTTGTAAAAGCGTGGCGAGGAGGGAAGCGTTGAAATTATTTATCTTTGCCGTAGGTATGGATAGATTAATCGGCTCCTAGCAGAGTGGTGAAACACTCAACGATGAATGTTATGCGATGTCGGCCGTATGGGAAATCGTTCGCCCGCTTCCTTCTAATGGAGTTTCACAGGTGGCGCTTTCGCTCTTATTCGGAATAAAGATGGCTACGAGAGATGACGGTTAAGAGACACTCGTTTTAACGCGTAACACTTCGTTTCGATGTGTTTAATTATCGTATTACGCGTGTTAATTTATTCATCAGAATTCAAGCTTGACTTTTGGACTATATTTTTCTTTTTCGCGACGAAGACGAGTAAAGTAAAGTAAATTTAGAAATTGATTTACGCAATTCAAAATTCAAAGAGTATTATTATTTAAATAATAATACGATGAGAAAGTTATTATGTAAGAGAGATACGAAAAGGTGAGTGGATAATTATTGAATTATTCCGTCGTTTTTTTTTTTTTTTTTGGTAAATTTAATAGAATGAAACTTTATATCGATTATTCGTTTGAATTCTCTCTTTATTTTCTTCTAAAGTACAAGTTTTCCTCTTTCATTACGAAATTATCGATTCTTTGTTTTCGAGATTTCTACGAGTAAATAATTGAGAAAAAGACGTTTCGGACGAGTGACCCGGTTCCGCTCTCTAACTTCTTTCTTTAATCCTTTTCATTTCTTACTTGCTGCACGATCTCTCTCTCTCTCTCTTTCTTTCTCGCGAATTTCCACGAAGTGTACCTGAGCTAGCACGGTAAAGTCAGTCCCTTTGAAATCCTTTTGAAACGCAGGAAAACTGCGCTGACGACGTCTTTTATTTTGGCCCTGCACCACGTCCAGTAACTACAAAGTAGCTGGACGTTGGAATATTAATATTTCGAAATCGTCTGTAAGAGGGTAAGGTCGTGTCTCGGTTGTGTGCTCTTCTTTTCAAGGTTTATATACACGATGGTTGCATCCGTATACACATGTGACGCGCATAAATGGCCGGAATTTTAGAATCGTTCCCATTCTAATGAATCGTGTTTTATTTAATGGATATCCTAGTTAGAAATTTTCTTCTGTGAACTTTAATATTTTTGAATATCCTCGTATCGACCAGGAATATGAAAATTTTAATATATTATTATTCTGATCCTCTGTTATATAAATACATACAAAATCTTTATTCTATTTAATATAAAAATTTTTTGTTAATTTTTGTTAATTCGAAGATAACAAGTGGTCGTGGATTAAATCCATGTTTCATCCGAAAATAGGTCACGATCCTTTGTTCGCGATTTCGTCTAACCAGATATTACATATTCCTTTACCAGTAGTAATTTACATTAATTAACATTACTCCAATCAAACAAAGTTCCATTAAATAATAATTTTATTTCCTACTGGATTCCATGTTTGTGTCGCAGATATACATAATTATTCGCAAAACACAAACACGAATACATTAACAATTAACAATAACGAACTTATTTACTTGTTATCACTTTTATCTAGAAAAATTTATATTTTCTCAATAAAAAAAAATATACTTTACGATACAAACGTGTTGCATATAACCAAAAAATATACCACAAACTAGCAATTCAAATGCAGAAACAATTACGCATTACAGTGTAAAAAAGAAATATTTCTAGGAAACGCACACATTCCATGAAATAGAAATCGAAAATTGAATTAGTGATCGAATCACATATTATTATCGCTACTACTTTATCATGCGAATCACACGATACGCAAAAGAGGAGAAGAAAGGAGGAAGAACGTCAGGGAGACAAATTACACGGCATCTGTAACGAGACCGTAAATTGCATGTTTACCTGCAATAGATGCAGATCCATTCCTGTGTGGGGTGCGGCGACAGGAAATAAGGCGACCCCATGGTCGATCGTGATTGGCTGTACCGGTTTGTAGGAATCGAGATCGAAATGATAGTCGTTCTCGTCACATTCCTCGGCCATGTAAGTCTGCTCAATTGCAGTGGTGTGAATGCTCAGAGTGCGATGGAGCGAACCAGTTGTCGCGTCTCTGCCTCGAGCATGTTGATGCTGAATATAAGGAAATATCGTAAATTCACGAGGATCTCGAAATATTTTTCCGCCATTCAATCTAAGGACTTCGATATAAGTGTACGTACAGCGTTCTGAATCATTTGTGGTATCGAACGTTTCGAGGGAATGTTCGTTTAATATTAATAAATTTTCCTTTTTTACTGGATATTACAATTGTATTGTACACTGCGATTGACAAGGGGTGGTCGTAAAATTTTAACTCCTTTCTTATTGCTTCTTTCTTAACAATAAAGCAAAAATAAAGGAAACGAACGACCCGATAGCTGGTAATAAAAGAACGCTCTAAAAGAACCATAAGTGTATCTCGGCAATAGAAGACAGTATATTCAATTACTTTTGTTGAAATTTGTAAAATTAAATGTTAACAAAATTGTGTGTTTTTTTTTATTCAAGTTTCTATCGTTGAAAATATTCAATACAGATATTTCTATTTGATACAGGATGCTTGTTGATAGAATTAAAGTGGAAGGAATTAATTGTTGATATCAATTTTACCTTATGAAATTCGCCGATTTTCTCGAGGACAGAGCCCGTGTCACGGATCGGGATGTTCTCTATTTTCCTCAAGGAACTATTCCTCGTGTTCCATTCCGTGGATGATTCCGTGCTAGTGTCGATAGCGATCTTCGTGGTTTGCCCCGAGGATGACATGTTTTCGGACTCGACATCCTTGCTGCTTCTGCGTGGTGATTCGCGGTTGTCCTTGCATTCTGCGTACTGAGACTGGATGGAAAAATTTATTCTTATTTGTCTCTCGTTATAAAATTCTAATCGATCATACGAAAATCAAATCGATCAATTCCATTTGTATTTTCTTTATTAAAAAAAAAAAAAAAAAAAAAATTGAAAATCATATATCATTTCACCGCTAAAGAATTTTTTAAAAAGTAAAATTGATTGATTCAGCTCTTGACTACGATTATTGAAAGATGGATTGAAATAAAATTTTATCAATTAAAAGAATTTTTCTGATTCGCATATTATACGAAATTTTAGAATCGTTTGTATAAATTTTTCAAACGATAAAAAACTTTCTTTATCTCTCCATATCTGATGTTCAGACAAATCAAAGGTTACTCGAGCTATAAATCTTTCAGTACTGATTCAAGACTGATATCGCTTCGCACATCATTGTATATCATGCATATTCAAAAGTGATTTAAGATTTTTGTTCTATTTTTTATTGTTCTATTTTTATCGTATTATAAATTGTAATTTCTTTTAATTTGTTTTATATCGCTTTCGTAAATGTTACGCGTATGTAAAGCAATATCCGTGCGGTGACTCGAGAAAGGATATTTTTGCGTAGATAAACGTGTACACGCGAGTATACGTACTCTCTGTCAAACGTCGATCAAAATTTCATCAATTTGACCCATTAAAGTCCACTGTACTATTAGTAGGCCACCACCTACCGATGCACAGTTTATACGTTGAATTTCGTCAAAGGTATTTGCCTCGCGAATAGATGAATTCTATTCGATAGAAATTTTCGAAGTGATAGAATTTCGAAATGTTGCGATGAAAGTTTCGTTTTTATTTTTAACGCGATCGAAAAATTGATTTCGAGAGGAATTAAATTTAAAATTATTGCAAATAATGGCTGTAAAGTTATATTTAAAGTTTCTATTTTGTCTTTGATTAAAAGCTTTGAAAATTTTAATTCAATGTATTTATTACAACGTTAGAGTTGGATAGAAATTATTTGATGTTTTTTTTTTTTTTTTTTTTTTTTAACTCCTCTGTGAAAGAGAGATATTTGTCCAATAATATTATATTTGCTTTTATAAAGGATAAAAAATCGTTTTCAATTTCATTCTTTCAAAATTTTTTTACAAAAAAAAAATTGCTTTAAGTAAAAGTATAAATTATATGGAGACATTACGTATTTTCTATTTAATTCTAGGGAATCTGGTATCTGGCCACCAGCCAAAGATACTCGACATAAAAAGAAACTTCTTTTAACATAAAAACGCGAGTTTCTTCATTTAATCAGAGGATATTAATCAGAGAAATAATTTTAAAAAAAAAAAAAAATTTATTTTATCAAAATTTATTTCATTCACATATTTCTTTCTATTTTTAGATTCCATCGATACGTAGTGATAAATATTTTATAAATAAAAAGTAATCGTAATGACGTAGATAAGATATATTAATATTATCACATCTTCAAAAAATATTTAAAAAATATTTGGAGAAAGTATTTTAAGAAATGTTATTTCGAAAATTTAATAAAATAATTTCCACTCTAAAATATTATTCCAACATTTTTCTACGCTTTTACAAATATAATATTATAATTAAATCTATAATATTATAATAAAATCTTTTAAAACTATTTTTTCATTATAATTTTATGATATGCGAAACCAAAAAGAATATTTCAAATAAATTTTATTAAGTTTGATAATAGCTGTTCAAATAAAAAGTAGTCGTTCTAGAAAAACTTTCTCCATTTAATTTGAAAGAGAAACTGTAATATTTCCAGAGAAAACAGCTTGGGATATTTCATTTTACAATAATAATTCGATATTAACATCATGAATATATTTTATAAAATTATAAATTATACACTTTAATCAATTTGAACGAATTTTTATAAAATCATGTTTCATACGTAAATTTATAAAATATAATATATAAATTTTACGAGATAAAATACAAATATGAGCGCAAATGTTTCAATAATATATGGTATGATCGACAATAATTTTAAAAAATAATAGATAAGATAATCTTGTTTATTACACATTACATATGCGCGTTTAACAATGTGCTTAAAAACTAACTTAATTAGGGCAAAAATTGATTTGTTTCTAGCGAATCATTTTGCTTCAAAACGAAATTGAAGATGAAGATTATAAAAAAATTTCATTCACGTGTGATAATTTTGAATTTCATACGCGATGAATTATATACGAATAATTACTTTGTTTACGTGTTTTGCCCAAACTTAATCATCTTGCAATTTCTAAAGATAAATTCTGGATAACGTCTCGAGTTATTGCTGACGTCGATACACGATAATAGCTATTGTACACAATTTAATAGATGCAAATTCCCGAACTGAAATGCTTAGCATAAGATCGAAATTCATCGATTCATCTCCTTCACATTTGGAATTAAGATAAATTCAATCAAAAGGTGTATTCTACTTATATTTGAACGATAAAATTATTGAATTATCGGGGCACGATAAAAATTTCTTTTTTTACGAAGGAGAAGGGAATCTGAAGAAAAAAGAAAATAATAAAATCGAGGGAAATAACGCAAGCAAATATGTTAAAAACGTTAACAAAATTCGTCAGCAGAATTATGGCATTATTGGGGGTGTATTTTGTAATATCTCCTAGACCCTTTAAATTTACAACTCTTGTTCGATATCCTTTCGAGTTGACAAAACTCTTTGTCGAAAGAATTAACTTGTTCTCGTTGAAATTGAGAATCCAGCTTCTTGATCTTGGTTCTTGTCGCGATCGAATTTTACGATGTTTACGTAACGACGAGTAGATATATTTTGTCAAGATAAATGACATTTGCTGTGACTATATTGAGAAAAAGTTCTTCCACTTAAATCCAGTTTTAAGACCAATAATTTTATATTTAATCTAAAATTAATCGCAATACCGTACAATTATTATCATGAAAAGAAGTAATAATTTTACACAATTTTTTTTTTAAATTTTAATCTTCAAAAGAGATTGCTAATAAAAACTTTCACTCTTATTATATATAGGAGATCAATATTATAAATTTATTTCTAAATTACTTATTGAAATAAAAAATAAAATCAAGTCTCCCTAATTTGATCTCATTTTTTCCCATAGCGAGATGTGTGTTAATAAACTCTGAACATTCATGTTCAAATTATTTACTCGAAATAAAAATAAAATAAAATCTCATTTTATTTCGAACTTTCATATCTCACGAATCGATCGTCGTGATAATAATCGTAAACGATCACGATCGTTGCGATCTCTAAAACAAGATCTTTTCTTTTTTTTAAAAAAAAACGTTCCTCGTCACTTTTCCACAAAGAATTGCTCGCTCGCGAAAAGGATCCACCTAACGTGACGAATACGCCTTGGCCAAGCTTTATTTCGGTTTGAACGGTAAGAAAAAGAGCATCGCGAACAGCGGGTCAATGGCTCGAATTAGAACATTGTCTCACTTGTCACAAAGACAACCCGTGTTTTTACGCGCTGTGGATATATTCGAGATAAAACGCGTTTTATTGTTTTAAAATAAAACGCCTTTATCGTTGGACGAATTTATCAACGTTTTCGTTTTAACTGCTTTGTGGTTTCGTGCGTCTTAACGGTCGAAATTCCATTTCCAAAGTATTTCACAAACGAGTTCTCTTATATGCCGTGATAGCATATCGAGCCGTTCCATTCATATTTATGAATTATGCAAATCGTAAATATCAATAGAACTGATGTATTTTGCATAATTCGAGGAATGATTGTTGATATATAACGATCGATTGTGCCACGTTTACAGTATTTTAAATCAAAACGAGGTAATGAATCAGAATTACTTGAATTGTGATATATTTATTTTACAATAAAGATAAAATATTTCTAAAAAAAATAATAAAGATAATTGTTCGTTGAAAGAAATTTGAACGAAAAATTAAATATATTTTATGTTTAAAATTTTTTTTATTTCGTGTAAAAAAAAGAAACGAGAAAGGGACGCGAATGAAAAATTTAGGGGTTGATTTTACTTTTCTCGCTCGAAGTGATTTTTTATCGGGAAAAAAATCGTTTTCGAAAAATTCTTTCGTACTTCATTATGCTCTAAATACATTCAAAGTTTCTTTGAGATCGGATTTTTTCGGGTTGAACAACTTTTCTCGTAAATTTCGACCAAGAGGGAATTATTATTACAGATGAAGATTTCCCATCGATATCGTTCACACATTCAGAAAGGTAATCGTTTCTTCGTTATAACATTTTATTATACGTTTCTTTATACGAAATATTAATTAACGATGTCACGATGTTATATATTCTATAAAAAAAAACTGTACTCCTTTCTCTCAACTATATATTTTTTATTTAAAATACAAAGGATTTTAATCTTATTAATTTGTCACGGGTCGAAATATTTCTTTCCGGTGGATCTGTTACACTACCCTCCAACGCTGTGATAAATTATACGTACTCGTACTCCTTATATAAATCCAAACTAAATCATCCTTAAGATAAATTACATCTTGTATAAAAATGTATCTTATTTTTAAATGCGCGCAAATTTTTTTAAAACTTTTCAAAAGAATCATTTTTCAAAAGAAACTTTTTATTCAATTCGCTATTACACTATTACAATTGAATACAGAAAGAATGATATACAATTATACGATAACGTTATTGTTTGTTGTACATGTATACGTACCTATAATTATTATTATTATTTTTTTTTTAATAATTAATGCGACCAGCAAAGGTGTATGCGACTATATATATATAAAAAAAAAAAAAATAACAAGTCCTTCTTAATTACGTGAATATTACGTATGTTAAAATATTCAACGAAGTCTGAATCACAAAGTGTGGATCTTTCGGGCCGACGATCGTTAGCGACAAGAGCAAGTAGTTTCCGCCGGCCTACAACCATCGTTGCTGCTGGAGGCCGATAGAAACCCCTAACCTTATCGCTACGTTTCCTTCTCTTTCCATTTCTTTTTTCCTTCACGACTCCATCTTTGTAAAAATGAATCACAATAGAAAATACAATCTCGTGCTTTTATTGTATACGTGTATAATTAAGGGATTAATTAAAATTCTGGGGAGACGTAGCTTGAATAAATTGAATAAGTAATTGATATTATTATACGTTAATTAACGAATGATTTATCAATCGATGAATAATCAATAAGTAGAAAATGTATATTTATATTTTTGAAAATATGTATTTATATACATATATATATATTATTAATAGGATGAAATATTTTTTTAATTTTAAAATATGAAAATTGATTAATCGTTTCATTGATGGCAGTAGAAGAGTAATGAAAAAAAAAAAAGTAGAATTATAATTTATAATGAATATATTATATATTTGAAAAGTAGCGGTAATACACCAAGCCAATAATACTGAAATTCTTTCGTTCAGCACAGTCACTCCGTTCTTTGTCCAGCATCGAGTCCTTCCAAATACTTGTGCCAAACGAACGAAACCGTACAGCATAAAGACCATTGTGTCGCCCCTTTTTTTTCAACCAACTCACGAAAAAAACCATACTCTACAAAAGAGTCAAAGTAATATCTTTGACATTGCTCGATCACTTGTGCAAATCCTTCCTTTGAACGTTTCTCTGATGCGAAAGATTACTTCAGATTGATTTACGATATACGTATATACGAGATATCTTTAAATCAAAAATTCTAATTATGTAAATTTACGTAAAGCCATCATCATCGAGTTATTCGTCGTTTAATTATTATCATTATTATTATTATTATTATTGTCTATCGCTTGTCGATTCGCTTGTTAAATTCATCGTTACGGATGAGTAACTTTGCTACAAGAATTATTCATACATCGAAGACTTTATTGTAGAATCGTGCTAAATTCTATACTATACTGATTCTGAATAACGTGATTGTACGAGAACGTGTTTACAATAAAATTTGAAAAAATATTTTCGTACGAATTTCATCTATACGAATCATCTTATCGATACGATAATTCAATATTCTCTCGAGTACGTGAATGTTTGTACAAACATGTCCAACTCGATATTAACCAACCTAATTTCTAACTGAACTTCATATTAATTTTTCCTTATTTTATCATAAATATAATTAGAAACTGCATCCTACTTGGAAATATTATCCCAATTGCAGCATCGTTCTCAACAAACACTTTCACTTTCTTCCAAAATTAAACGCACCAATATCAATTTTCCTTATTCGCAAATCGTTGAAGAGGTTCAATGCGAGGAACGATAATTTTTAAATGGACTTAAGAATAAAGATATACACAAGCAATAACGAAATATCAAAACTTTGTTAGAGACATCTTTTTACAAAAGGACTTGTATTAAATCGAGAGCTGCATCGTTCGTACGAATACAATACGTTTTCAGTTTCTAGCCGTTTGATCACCGTCGAAGACCAGAATCCGAGAAACATGGCAAAAAGAACTCTCATTCTTCGGTTTCATCGGTTACACATCGATTCGTATCGGTGTTTTTTCGTCCCAAAGTGGCGAAACGAAAGCAAAGGGTTGCTTAATTTAAGTAATTCTCTCTTTCTCTTTCTTTCCCTCCTCCTTCTCGAGCTTTGCCCTCCTTGTTCGTGTATTCCACGGTTCGACGCTTCCGGCAGGATACGTACGGATTTTATCGAGGAAGTTCCTTGGCCGGCCGCCAAATCGCACGTGTAACCTCGCCGTGAAATCATTCGATCTCCATGGATCGTCCCCTCCCTCTTTTTCTCTCCGCGTTCCTCGATGCATTTGAACAGGGAAAACGATCCAACAACTCACGTATCATCGATGCTCTTCTTTTTTCCTTCTTTATTTCTTCTTGTTTACGCAACGAAATTGTTGATAATTTTATTATTATTATATTTTCTTTAAGGAGATATAAAGCTAACTGTGAGAAAGAGGAAAGAGGAGAAGGAGGAGAGAAGAATTTATTGTTGTTTCCATTGTTGGGACGATATATAACGATATTGAAAATGATAATTTTCTTTTTCTTTTTTTGAAGATAAATGATAATTATGAGGAAGATACTTGGAATTAGTTTTGGAAGGGGAGGAAAGAGAGAGAGATAGTTGTGAAGATAAGTGGTTCAGACAGTTGGGTTGAATACAGATATCGCGTGATATGGGGCTTAGAATTGACTTAGGTTGAAACACAGTTTGATCTAGAACGGAATCGGAACTGGGATGGAACCGAGTTTGAATTGGAACAGAATTGAGCTAGGTCCAATACCGAACTGGTATTGAATTGGTGCTGAATTGATATTGGACTGATACTGATCTGTTTGGGGAGATGTATTGGGATTTGAAGCTTTTTTTTTTCCTTTTCCTCTTTTTTTTTTCTTTTTCTCGTAGTTAGATACGTAGGAGAAGTTAAGAGAGATACTTGATAGATACTTTAAAGATGATGTTATTTAATGGAAAGCAATTTTGTAGTAATCTCCAATAATTTACTTTGTTTACCATTTTATCGCGTTTTTCGTTTTATTTTTATAAAAAAAAAAAAAAATTTGCTGCGCGAATCACTCTTTTCTTAAAACAATAAATTCGATAAAAACGCGGAAACCGACAATTATCGGACGAACACGTTTTCGCGTTTTTTTTCCTTTTTTTTTTTTTTTTTTAAACGGGTCAGATATTGAATATTGGAAAACTACATTCACATACACAAGACAACATTCGAAAAATTTGTTCATTTTCCTGTTTATTTTACCATTTATATTTTGTGGGTGATATCTATTTTCGACGTTAAAAATATTATAAAGGGGGGCAAAAAAATAAAAGTTGTCGATGACCTCGATCGCTTAATTGGCTTGGAAGTAATTGTTCGAAAAAATCGATGCTTGCGAAATTTTCAATAATTTTTAGACTTCTGAATTATATAATACTATTATTATATATATATTTTTTTTAACTTAATACGTTCACCAATAATTTTTCATCCCCTCAATCTTTCGAAAATTGTAGACTAGTTTCTATAAATAAAAAGTAAGCGATTTATCTTCGAGAAACGTCTAATTATCTGTTCCAATCCGAGCATAAATCCGTGATTGTGTAACCACAAAATTTTATTGCTACGCAAATTCTGAAAATAGAACAGTCGAATTATAGCGCGAAGATAGAAATATCTATTGCTAAATATTACTATTGAAATATTTTGATCGAATGAGCTTAATATTATCTTTTTCATTTACCAATAAAATTCAAATATATATATATATTTCTTCGATCAAACATTCCTCCAACCCATCTAAAAACGTAGAAAATAAAATATCTCGTTGCCAAATTCCAAGAGATATTTATCTAAAGGAAAACTTGCAAATTAGCATCAATTAATTTCACCATTTGTTACAACATATAGAACGAATTATTAAAACAATTATATTATAAAACAAAAATAAATAAAAGGACAAATTGCCTCGTATTTCGAGGCTATTATCTGTTAAAGTTTAATTCGTAAAAAAAAAAAAAAAACAAGCAACGCGACACAATGAAAAACTTGATCGCGAGAGGAGTGTGCCTCGAGGAGCGATCGAGAATTCGGAATTTATCGTTATAATTCCAATCGCGTTTCCCACGATGGGAAAGTTTCAAGGTTTGTTTTTCAAGGTGCGATTCGCATAGCAATTACACACGGGGGAAGTTTATGAAGTTTAAAAACGATTTACCTTGGACTCGAATGCGATGACTTCCCGCAATTCCCGCAAGAAAGCCCCGAAGAATGGGACCACCGGGCATTCCGGCATAGCCAACGAGCGGGCAAGCGCGAATTCATACTCGGATGACAAAAGGGCGGAGGAGAGGCTTTCCAAAACTGGTACCGGCTCGTTCACGCTGTTCCAAAAGGGTTTCAGCTTGTTGGACCTGCGTCAAAACCATTCGTGTTTGATTGAATTTAATTTGGCAGGCGAAACGATCGAATGAAAACGTATTTGTCGTTGATTTGTGTATTTTTTCTTTATTGAAATTAATGTTGATTAAAGTTTGGTAAAAAGAAAAAACCAAGCTTGAAATCGTATACAATTAAAATTTGTAATTTATTTTTTTTTTTGACATCATTAATTATGATTATTTATCTTTTTCTCATGATTTTTTTTTCGAAAATTATTGAAAATTTGATATTCTTGACGTTAACCCAATTCGAATTCACACGATTTTTAAGAAACGATATTTCGTGTGCATCGATATATTTAATAATGTAATTATTGTTTCTATACAAATCTATATTCTATGTACAAAGGAAATTGTTTTTTATCGTATTGCATGAGGTGTTTAAGATGATTAGTGACTTAATTCCTGCGAGGCAAAGAGGAGTGTTTAAATATGGTGAAACGAGATACTGTCGTGTTAATTTAATGCTTGGAGGTATTATGATACCCTCTATTTGAAACTTTGTGTTTTAAATAAAGTAATATGAAATGGTCAAATGAAGCACGTACAGAATAGATTAAAATAAAAAAGGTTTGATATCGTCTTAAATTCGTTTAATTCGTATAATTTTACAACAAAATTTCAAATAACGTCAAAATATTCATTACTTCATCTTTTATTAATAGTAAACCATATTTTTCTTATTTATATTTCTTATAAGAGAAAGAAATGTTATCGTTGTCCAATGTTGGATAACACATTTGTACAAAAAGTTATTTCATAGACAAATTAAAAAGAATAAAGAAAAAAGTTCGAGATCTCATTCGAAGAAAATCAAGTTTGAAATCTTGTCGAGCACGTGTGCACTTGGTTAACTCCTGATGGAATGCGTTTAGCACATCTGTCGGTACCCAAAGAACGCCTAAAATGCCTAAGCTATACCTTAAACTGGATTTTCTCGAAAAGGCTTTAAACCCAAACGAAATTTTATTTCGTACTTTCATCTTTCTTTGAAGATGGAGAGCAATCTTCATTCCCTCGGAAGTGCACGCATCTTCAACTTGATTTCTCAATCTTAATTTCTTCGTTAACATCGATAGATTTTATTCTTTTTTCCCCTTCACCTTATTTTTACCTATATTATTTTTAATAATTTTTTATAATTAACGATAATAATTTCACGACGTAGTATGTATTATTGTATTGTATAAAATTTTACATTATTTTGTATCATTTCGTTTCACAATATATTTTCAATAGTTACGAGATTCTTAATCTAATCTCATAGTCTTCGAAACATCATCGTCATTATTGTAGATGTAAAATTTTACATAAATATATTATATCATTTCGTTTCACAATGTATTTTCAATAATTACGAGATTCTTAATCTAATATTATCGTCTTTGAAAGATCATCGCCATCCATTGAAGAAATTTCGCCAAAGTTCTGTGAAGTAATAGGTCAAGATGGCGCAGGTGCACGTAAAATTTCAACTATGCATTCGGTTAATCGCATAGTTCTCGAAACTGAAACTAGAGCGCGAGTTATATAGCGCGGGATAAATTGTAAATGGAGGAAACGACCAGGACAATGACCATGTGTGTAGGACGACTGTTGCAACTTTTATCTTTTCGTTCGCGGTTGCGGAGGTTGGCGGTTTTTTACGATCCCGGTAATAAAAACTATTTTATTTTTCCATTTCGTTTTTCCGAAACGACCACAAGGGTGCAATTTGTGGCACAGCTTTTCCTTTGGTGAATTTATAAAAAAAAAAAAAAAAAAAAATCTCTCTTTGTGAATTTTAATGGAGGAAGAAACTGTTGAATTCGTGGATAATAATTGAATTTAATTTATTTTAAACACGGTTGAAGTGATCTGCGTTATTAAGAGCACTTGTAAATTATTTCTTCAAAAATTTTTGCGTCAATTTTCAACAATCATTAGTAGAAATAAAAAATTCGTTTTTATTTAATAAAACAAATCAACTTAGCAACTGAAAGAAACTTTCAAGAAATGATTTTCTATTTTAAAAATCAAAATATATCCTGTTCATAAGTTAGGAATATGTAACAATAATAATTAAAAAATATTAAATAATAATAATTAAATATTTGAAAACATATAATATATTATTCACAATTATTTAACAAACGGATATATCGTTCGTAAAATCTAAATGCTAATCGTTAATTGAAACGAACTATGTGTATTTACAGAATATATTTCGAAATGGCTTATTTATTCATCGAATATTCATCGAGTTTATTTAAAAGTAAATTCATCCAATGATAATTTTGTATAAATAGTGAAATTGATATTTGTTGTACATGCTTTTTTTCCCTTTTTTTTTTTAATCTTTGAAATTAAATTTTGTTTGCTCGTTCGTTCCAACGAAACGAAATATATCAAAGTCAGAATATATATGTATATATATATACTGTGCTGCTTTGGTCAATTTGTTTCGTTATTTTTCAACAATCCATCGGAATAAAACACACTTTGAATTATTCCTTCGTTAATTCTATCCTTTTCATTCAATTTTGTTCCTTGTTATATTCGTGTTATATCAATTTTATGTCAAACACAAATTATCGTCTACACATGCACGTGTAATAATGTATATCACACGAATTTATAATTTAATTGAACACACACGCTTTTGTGACAATTTTTCTTCAAATAATCAAGTGATCAAAGAGATGTATATTATAATTTTTGAAATTGCGGTACATGGATGTGGGTACATGGAAAATATTACAAATAAAGAGATTCTCTGTTTTTTCTCAGCGAAAGGAAAAAAGAAAAAAAAAAAAAAAAAAACATATGTTCAATATTGTTACACACATGTAATTAAAAATAAAGTGAGATTTATACGACGCTGTAGTTTCGCGGAAAATAATATTATCTTTGTTCTTTGCGAAATAACTGAAACTTTTAAGTTATTTTACATATATTTGCATGATAAAGTTTTCTTTGTTTTCTCTCCGAAAAATACGATATACGCGTGATACACTACATCGAAAATTTAGAAGCGATCATTCTTCTCCTTTTTTCCGGATAAAACCAAATGAATTTTAAATAAATAATTACGGAAAATTATTTTGCCATATCTATTTATCATAATTAATTGAATAAATAAAATCTTATTTAAAACAGTACGATAGATTAATTTTCTCTTTACTCTATTCTTTCATTATAAACTTAACCATTATGGATGATGGAAAACATATGCAAAAGTATTTTCAAAACTAGCGTGGAGCAACGATGCCGATACGCAAAAGTTTCTTGGCTGGAAAATTGTTCATTTTAGATACGATTTGAAACCATGACACGAATGGATAAAGATAGAACCGACGAAAGTACCGAGAAAGGAAAATTGAGAGAGAGAAAATCCCTTCGCACTCGCATGAGTCTGGGCGCCATGTGTATAAGTATTTCCGACATTGGGCGAGAGTGAAGGAAGATTCTTTGAGGATAGGACAAAAGAAGAAGAAGAAGAAGAAGAAAAAAAAAAACGTTCAAAAAACGTCTAAAGAAATCCGTCTAAAGAAGAAAGTTTGGATACAGAGCTACGTGAGAAAAGAACTGTTTAAAAGACAGCTTTGAGTTTGCGTGGAACGATTCTTGATTTTATGATTTATTTAAAAAAAAAAAAAATTAAAACAGACCAAATTTAAATTAGAAAATGGATATAATTATCGAACGAAGACGAATAATCGAATGGAAGTTTTTCAATTCGAATTAAAATAATTTTCTGCGGGAAATAGTGATTAACACTTAAGATACAAGTTGGAATAGCGTCTTGTTTAAGTTGGTAAGACCATGGATTAAAGGGAACTTTCGGGATGCTATTATTTCAATGGACCTAGATTAATCGAGTCGAAGGATCATCGAAGCAAGCACACGCTTTGTCTGTGTAGTTTCACGAAATTACGTATATACCAGGATTAATTTGGTATTCTATGAATGTTATTCTCTTTCGAATCTTTAAAATTTTTGCACTTATTACAAAATTGCTTCTTTAATTAGACATTTTATGCATTTTTTCATTGATTCTATTAGATATTCAAATAAAGGGAATAGAAGGAACTTACTTGAGGCCAGCAACGATTTCCATGGCTGAGTTAAAATTTCCGGTATTCCAACAGGTTTGAGCTACGCGTAGGAGACAGGACAATACAGCCTGCCTTTCTTCTATCGTTGTGCCGCTTGTGATCGCGTGGGTAACCCATGAGCTCACCTGAAATTACGAAATATTGCATATAATTACAAGATATGTACCTGGTCACGAAGTCAATTTTTCCACTCCATTTTCCACTAATTTCCCTTAAAGGATTCTGCAGATATTAAGATATCCTAAAATTGGCCATTTACTATTCCATCGAAATTTCTTTGTATTTTTCAAATACGTAAAAAGCTCTTTTTTGAGCTTGATATTTCACACATACTCTGGATTCAACCATCAATTTTCTTCCAAACGCCAGGCAGGAATATTTACAACAATCGAAAAACCCAAAAATAAATTTATCAATGATCATTCAATATATCAAAGATGGATCGTAATTTTCTCCCTCCCCTTTCTTCCTTCCACCAATATTACAAATATTACAACGTGATCAGATAGAAGACATTCTCAACGAAACGAAAGATAAATCTATCTCTATTAGGATTGTCTGAAAGGATTTCGAAGGTTTATCGTTAGCATGTTCGAAGATCACTCGATGAACGATCACTTATACAAACTTATTAACTTATAATTACCTCATTGAAACGATTGATGAGCGTCTGAACGGAAGAGGAGAAGTTGGGTACAGGCCAGTTAGACTCTTCCTCGGTCTGGGTCGAGCTGTTGGCGGTGCTCGGATTGCAATAGCTGCGACTCGGCGACGGGGGTGGCCTGGCAGGTAGTTTCTGCGTATTCTGATCTTGTGCCACGTGCCTTAGGTACTCCTCAGGCGGTACCTGGTAGAACAGCTGGTATTCGGTCTCCGTCAACCTGAGCGCCACCTCCTCGGGGAAGTGCAGCAGCTTGTGCAGATCCTCCAGCTCCTCAGAGCTCCGAGGCGGCTGCGGCTGCGGCCGCTTCTCCAGCTCTAATTAAACACATTGTACACCCCGCTTTAATATCCAACTGCGTGAAACATTGCACGCGCAAACAGATTTTCTGCTTCGACTTTCTTAAGAAATTCATTCTCTCGCGTCTCGGATTTTCTTCGCTCCTTCGGGATTAATGGAGGGATTAATGGAGGGAAGAAGGAAAGTGGAAAATTAATATTTTTGTTGAGAGAACTTTTTTATTCTCTCTTCTTCTTCTTCTTCTTCTTCTTTTTTTTTTTTTTTTTTTTTAAGGAGATAGGAATTTTTCTTATGGATTTTTTCGCTACTCGAGATTGAATTAAAATTAACATTATAGAAACGACAAGAAGGTGGAAATTATTATTATTTTTGCCGAAAGAATTTTCTTCATCTTGTTATTTTATTTTCCAATAAAGTAGAAAATATTTAATCATTAATGACGATCGAGTCTCCACTTTTATAACATTTATTTTTCAAGGAGAGAAAGAAAGATGTTATTATAAATGATTAATATTATTATGAGTCTATGATTGCGTTAGTTATGATTGCTGGTCAATATTAACTCCATATACGAATATGCGTTTAATATCGTAATATTTTATATATTTTACGAAACATATAATTTCCTTCCTAGACGAGGAAATTTCGCCGTGTATTTCAACTGATTTGCGAAAATTACATTGGCGAGAACAAACGGGGGAGTAGAAATTGTTTGTTGGAATGGTTTGTTCCAGTCGAAGGGGAAACGGAAAGTGAATGGACGCGCAAAAGCGTTATTCGAAGCATGCCGACAATTTAAAATCTGACCCAGTTCTGTCAAAAATAATTAAGATTGGCGCTGACTCGTCGTGGCGACGCGTGTATAACGCGCGTATACACACACAAGAGCCGGAAAATGTACGAGTGGCATCCATTTGCGGCGACAAGAAGGAACTCGAGTAATTCGACGTATCCGGTATATTAACGGATCTTGCCTTGTTATTAAAAGCAATTCATAAAACCACGCGCGTCCAGAATATTTCCAGAATATTCCATTCGATCAATTCTTTCAACCAACAAATAAATACACAATGGATAATTATCATTCGAGGAAACAAGGAGTTCAGATATCCGATAATTCTCCGAAATTCGTGATACCATAACGCCTGTCTTAATCTCACTTAAACTAATTTGCATCAAAATCACGCGCTAAACCAGAGACGTTAAGCGGATGTATAATGTACGTGTATAAACGATGCGTCATCTTCTGACCGCCAGTACAAGTTATCGGCGAAAATAAAGTCGAAGAAGTCAAAGAAATTGGGATAATTTTTAACACTCGGTATAATTTTTAGACAAAATCTATACGATTTTGTATACGCAGGATCCGTCCACTTTTCGAACGAATTCTCGACGAAAAGATCGAATATCGGAACCTTACACAGAATTCAATTCTTTGTGAATTATCATTATCGACGAATAGGGTTTGTTACGCGAGATACAATAATTAAGAAAAACGAAGGCACTCGAACAAAAGTGGCAAAATTCCATCATCTCCGAATAAACTAATATCATTAATCTAAAAACTATAAAGAATAAATTAATTTCAAAAGAAATTATTGTTACAACTAACCGTATAGATCCTAAAATTGAATAATTACAATTAGAATTCAACCAATAAATAAAACTGGATAAACTCCTATCCCTAAAATTAAATATTAATATAAATAAAATTCCGTAATTTAAAAAATATATTGAATAAATTCATGGATATAAAATTCATAATGTTAATGACAAAAAAATATTATTATTGGTTTATAAATATATAAATTTGAATAATTGAAAAAATATCATTCTTTAGATAATAATTTTAATGCATCTCTAAAAGATTGAAATAATCCTATAAATAATATTTTATTAGGATCTTTTCGATTTTGAATATATCCTAAAATTTTCCGTTCTAATAATGTTAAAAATGCAACTCTAATTAAAACTATAATTATTAAAATAATTAAATTAATCAAAATAGAAATTATTATTTATTAACTAATTTATTAATATAATTAAATTCTAAATTTAATGCACTATTATGCTAAAATAATAAAAAATATTTAGTAATTTTATTTAAATTATTTATAAATCAAACCAATCTGACTTACGTCGATTTGAACTCAAATCATGTAAGATTTTAAGAGTCGAACAGACTCAAAATTTATACTGCATTTAATTTTAATCTTAATTCAACATCGAAAGTTACATCACCGCGTTTCCAAAGTTGCGTTAAAATCAATTTCCCTTTGTTCACTCGAGCCAGCGTAAGTACACGAGCCTGTTATCAAAACATCGTGTGCGTGAAACGACGGGCGAATAATAACACGCGTGCAGACGCGTGATTAACGATTAACAATGTATGCGTCATGCATGATCGAGATGGAATCGGGAATAGCGAATTTTCGTTCAACGAATTTTCGAACAAAGGGACGATGAAAGAGATGAAAAAGATAAAACGCGGGGTAACAAACGTTTTCAAACGGAATCCGGCTGGTTTGCGGGTTGAAATGAAATTTCATTTGTTCTCGCGTCCCCGAGGACCGAACCGTATCGAATGAATGAAATTATATCAGGTGACGGTGCAAACTTGTTCTAGGTTAAATTATTATGCTCCAAGGAGACGTCTCCTCGCTAGGAAAAATTTATTTCGTATCATTCTGTACGTAGAGAAACGTTGTGGCGAATTTTTTTTTTATTTTTAAGAATAAAAGAAATGCAAACAGAGGAAGAAAATATCGTTCGTAAAGGAGGGAGAGAAAAATAAAAGTGGATTAATAAGAAGAATCGTGAAAAATTTTATTAAAAATAATTCTTTAGAGATTTTTGATGTGTATTTTGTGAGTAGAGAGGATAGAAAAAAATAATAATAAGAAAAATTTATCGATTTGATAATTTAATCTTGATATCATCGATTCGTGTTTAAAAAAATTTAAGATTCCCAATGGTAAAATAAATGTGAACAACAACTCTTTCGAATTTCTTTGATGAAATTTAATTTAAAATAATCCTAATTGCGAGAAAGAATTGTCGATTTCGAATTTAAATTGTAAATTGGCAGGGATGAGAAATCTTGTGGGTCGCGTGTTTTCGAATAAACGGGAATCTTCGATAGAAGGACAAGCATTGTAAACATAGTAGCCAGTTAATTAGTACTTTAACATACATCAACAGGACTGACAGATCGATACAATCAGATAATGATAAGGTAACAGGAAGGAAGAGGTAATCAAAGTGCTAATGCAAATATTGGCTGTTCAAGTATCCATCTTTCTAAAGGTAACATCGCTTTCATATACCTAATTGACACGTAAATCGATACTCGTGAGGACGATAAATGAAAAGCTATGACGTTACCTATCGATTATACCGATGTCCGTGTCGAAAAGATCACGATTTTTCGAGGAAAAATTTTAAATCTCGATCGGATCGGATTATTCGATGATATACAAATAATTTGAAATTCATCGAAATATACGTGAGTTTTTAGAAATTAAATTTTCCTCCCATTTCATTTTTAGAAGTTAGCCTCGAAGTGAACACTCTTATGGAATATCGAAATTGCGTTATCATCGAAAATTGGATTACACATTCGTGGCGGTAAAAGCATTTTTATAATTGAATCCATGATAAAGCGTTTTAATATATATATATATATATATATTCCGGTGTAAAAGAGGAAGGCACATATGATAAATATAAATGTATTATCTTCACGTTAAAGTGTGTTTCTGAAGAAAAATTTCTAAGCCAATGATTAATGGCGACAGTTTAATATTACTTAGCATTTAATCGGTATTTCTGAATGACGGATCATTAGTTTTTTGTGTTTGCAGAAGTTGAGTGCTTTTTTTTTTTATTTATCTTATGGAATAATAATTTCACTCGAAATTTTTAAATGATTCTTATTTAAAAGAATTTGATATTTCTTCATAATTCTTTGAGAAGTAATAAATTGATTAAAGAATAACATCATTTTATTTTTCCAATTTTTTTTTCTTTTTTAAATAACTTATTCTCAATGCATACATATTAATTTTCGAGCTCAATTAATCATGCTCGTTGTATGCGAATCTAATATTTGATTAATATCTTAACATCACAATTTTCGTAGCTTTAAAATATCTCCAGGAAATATTATACGCTTCTGAAATATATAATATTAATTTCATCCCGTATCTCATATATTATGAAACATACGTTTCTTTTTATCCTTAAATAATATAAAACGTAAAACTAAAAATGGAACAGAAAATAATTCAATAGGATTAAAATCGTGTATTCCTGTTTATCTATTATCGTTTTATCAGGCAATGGATTAACAGTTCAGTAAGAGATATTATAGAAAAGATTAACGGCTTTTTCAATTGAGAGAAAATGAAGCTAATTTTAAATCAATACGTAGAGCAAAACGTTACGATAAACATCCTTTCAACATCCTTTTTTTTTTTACAAATTTCCGTTTTCTTTTATAATTAAAAAATTGAAATTTTTCTTTTATCTTTAATTTTCGCATTTAACTTTCTAAAAGTATCTAAAATGAATACAATATTACAGATAAATTATTTGTAATTTGTATAATGTTCCACCAGTATCGTGTTAAAAATTTTTGTTAAAAAAAATCTCTTGCTTATTACTTGTAACGATCTATTTAGATGAAAAACGGCATCCAACTTTGCTAATAAATTACTCGACTGTTATTACGAGAGGAAAATTGTGCCTGTAGGAAAATTCTCTCATTCCTAAGGATCTTCATGTTCAAGGATTATATCATGTTTTATATTCTCGTACATTCAAAACTTTCCATTATATTTTTCATTAGGCAATTTCTTCAAGGAGAAATTTCAAAAACTTTGTCAGACTGCATATATATATATATACCACATTTCTTTAATTGATAATATTAGATTAAATATTTAATCTAAACTAGAATCATTTTTTATAAACGAAAAGATATAATTAAAGAATGTACATCTTTCTTAAAAAGGAATTTCAAAAATTTTTTTTTCACTACACCACTATATCCATATCATGTATATTTAACCTTTTTTTTTTTAAAAATTTAAATCAATTTAATTGTATATTTAATCAAACTAGTATCATTTTCTATAAATGAAAAATATCAAAGGTCGTATGATTAATACTTCGAGAAATAATGTCGTCAAATAATTATTAAATTGTTGCACGAACCTTATCAGGTAATGGTTCGGCCACGTGGGGTGGAGGAAGCGGAAGTGGCTGTACTGTTCGCCGTTGACGGTGATGAAAACGGCGCTTCCACCCACGGGTGGAATCGCCACTGTTCACCGTTGAAATCAGCCCGACGACCACGACGGGTAATCCCCACGTAGTTTTCCAGCCTGCATCAAGATGGCTCCATTGACCTCTATCCAACAGGATCACTGGGACAGCCTTCGTCTTTTTCTCCTCTTCTTATCCGCTCCTTTCTTGTATTTTAAGAACGACCGCGTTTTTCGATTGGCCTAAAAATCACAGAGAGAAAAGTCGATCGATAACCAGCCGAACTAAGGGTGGAAGAAAAGTGAAAAGAGAATGAACAGAGAGAGACGAAAATAGAAAAAAAAAAAATCGTGACAAAATTTATCCTCGTGATGAAATTTATATCTCCGCATTTCCCGTGTAATTAAATCGAATAAAAATATTTCATTATGAAAAATTGTAAGATCGGATTCTAATCGATTATTTATTCATTTTACACAATTGATACATAATACTCTCATCAACGTAATAATAATCGTCATAGATGTTAGCTAATTAATACATCTATTCCTAACGCCGTTTAAATCGACGTTTCACGTATATGCGATATAAACGAAACAAAGCGTTATTGTCCTCGCACATTGAACAATATCATATCTACACAACAATTTTGTTCCAATAATGTTTCAATATCAATTAAATTATCCACGTAGCTCTCCGTCATTAGCTTTGATCCAATAGATAATGTTCGAAGTGACGTTTGAACGTTTTGAACGTTTCCACACGTTCAATCTCATTTTCGACGAAAACTATTTTCTCTCTCTCTATCTATCTCTCTCTCTCTCTAGCTCTCTACATGCGTCTGTCGTACAAAGGATTGGTTGGTGTATATCCGGGAAATGCCAGAAGGAACTCGTAGAAAGCACAGCCACTCGTTAATCCTTAAAACGAGACGAGAGCCTTACCAGAGATAGCTTCAAACTGTCGTCAACAGAGTACAGTGGTGAATTTAACGATTCTCCGAGGAGCAATGTTAATTTTCTGTTTCGTCGTTCTTTCTGGATTAAACATCAACCGGTATCTCTTTGAAACACACGAATTCTCCATTTACCTTACCCTCCCTCCTCTTTCTCTTTCCTTCTCTTTTCATTCTTCTCTTTAATTTTTAAACAATTTTTGACTCGACACGATAAATTAATATTCTTGTTGCTCTTCCAATATTTAACGATTACCCGTTGTGATCGTGATTTGCTATTCCTTCAATTGGATTTGAATATTTTGAAAATAATTTGCCATTTCGCGAGAAGAGTAATTTTTATTAAATTTTTAAAGGTGCACTCTATGCGATTAACTTGCAACTTGAGATTATTTCTAACGAAAGGAAAAGAAAGTTCAGTTTTAGAAATTTCGATTTCAACAATTAAAAATTATTTCCAAAAAAGGAAAAGAAGAAAGTTTAGTTTAGAAATTTCAACAACTCACGATTATTTCTAACGAAAGGAAGGGAAAATTTAATTTGGAAATTTCGTCCGGTTTCAACGCAACGTTTTCAAAAAAAAAAAAAAAAAAAAAAAGGCGATCGTTCTGCGGCGCTTTTCTGGCCGGAATGGAATTGATCATCCTTTGTAGCGGTCACGGAGCAATAAAAAGGTAGTCGATGCTAGAATCGTGGCTAGACATTTCCATCGAAATTCTCAGTTGTTTGCTCACACTTTGCCGACTGCGGTCGAGCGGAAACGCTAAAGACGATCTTGAATCCCTATGAAACGATATTGTCCCCCGCGATTTCCTGATAATTTCACCAAAGAGAAAAGGAAGTAGGGGGGAGGAAAAAAAAAAAGCTAGATGGTCAGGGACGTGATTTTCATAGAGAAGTTTTTCTCACGCCGCGCGCAGGGACCATTTATCACTTTGTTATCTCTTTAAAAAATTTAAAATTCCGTGATTTCTTCTATTTATTTTTATTCAAATTTAACAATCGTTTATTACGCACATTAGACATTTTACTTTCTAAAGTTTGCCGCCGTTCATTGCAATTGCTTAATGCTTCGTTTTAACGTGTTTATCTTTAATGATAAAACTGGAATTAATTAAACGGATAGAATTGTAAGCAATTGTAATCGATGTTGAAGAAATGATAATAATTAGGAGGAAGAAAATTGAAGCGAGAAGAAAATTTCTCTTTTTGCTTCTCTTACTTGTCTACTTGTGCCTCGATATAGAAAGTGATTCGATAAATTTGTTGTGAATATTTTAAAATTAAATATCAGTATATATATATATAATAAAATATAATAAATAATATAATAATAATAAAATATAAATAAAATATAATAAATAATATAATAATAATAAAATATAAATAAAATATAATAAAGATATTCACAACAAATTTATTGATAAATTTATTATTAAAATTAAATATAATAAAATATAATAAATAATATAATAATGATAAAATATAAATAAAATAAATAATAATAAAGATATTCACAACAAATTTATCGAATTACTTTCTAAAGTTATCGATGTGTATGTATATTTGAAAGATGAGTGTTCAAGCGATCAAGACAAAAGGTAGATATAAAAGAAACAAAAAGGAAATTTTCTTCTCGTTTCAATTTTATCTATATATATATAGATTTATTCAAATCTATCTTTAAGTATAAATTCTCGTTACATATTTTAAATAGTTTGAACAGATGAATGCACGGATTATTAATGCTTCCTTCCATACATATAATTACTCGAAATGTTATGTACGTGATAGATAGTACAAACCTATATAATATATCCTCACGAGAGCTGTATTTATGCGAAGCAATAGCAATTACACGTTCGAGATAGTACTGTTGCACAAGAATGAGCTATTGTTCACAAGTCAAGATTTTATATACACGTACAAACTATGCCACTCTGCCCGATTCGTTCCTGATATAATCTCGAAACACTTACTACATACACACAAGTGTTTCCAAGCGATTGCCATCCGATTGCTATTAAATGCCCTAATTTGCAAGAAGGGATTAATGGGAAGCCAACGGGAGATAAATTATTTCTGGTCATATAATTCAATTGATGCCGTTTAGATTAAACGAACCGTTACACGATATTATTAAAGGTAATATGAAAATATAGAATCGGATATGGATTTAAAATTTTTCTAATCCATTTATAAAATGTATACAAATTATTTTTACGTAATACAAATTTTTTTCATTTCAACCATCATGAAATTATTTAATGTTATGATGTTAATTCGAAAATAAAAGATCGAAAGATCAAATAATTAATACATTCAATACGTGAGTGAAGTGAACGAACACGTTACTTTTAGAGAATTTCTTATTTTATGACATGTCAGTTACGTTTTCTTTTAAAAAATATAAAAGCTTCAAGTCAAATCTATCTTCTCATTTGCAATAGTACATTCACCGGCAATGTATACGATCGTTTCGAATTTTCTTGCATTTTCTCCCCATTTTAAATTCGTTAAAATTTTCTTAATCAAATTTATATCGAATGTAACAATAACATCGATAAAATCGATCTCTCCGATATTCCAAATGTTCATTTACGCGTAACAAAATTCAAAAGTGCTAGCAAAGTGTCGTTATAATAAGAAATAATTTCCATTGAAACGAGGTAACGCGACGAGTGAAAAGGAAACGGGGAGGAGGAAACTGCAGGAACAGCTGACATTCCTCACCTTCCTCTAGCAATTTCCTAGAAGGCGACAGCAAAGGTCAGAACGATATGTTATGCGTGGGCGAGACGATTAGACCAAAACGTTTCACAATTCTCCATCAACGTCCTACTCGAGTTTCAGGGAAATTCGTTCGAATCATTTCTGGAGTCATTTAGAAAACAAAACCGTGTTCGAATTGCGAGACGAAGAAGAAAAGATGGACGGCCATCCGTCGCATCGTGGATCGCAAATTAAGATCGATCTTGAGAAATGAGCGCGGGTCGAGAAAGGGTTAGAAAAAGAGAGAGAGAGAGAGAGAGAGGAGAGAAATTTTTTCCACTCGAGCTCCTCGATTTTTCGAACCGAAGAAGTTTATTATCTCGTTTGCACTTCGCTTTGTGCCGCGCGATATCGTGTGGCATGTCCTGTTTTTTCGCCACGGATTTTTATGAAAGCGGGGGGCGCACGTTGGCAAGGAAACTCCACGGGGATGGAGAATGTTCTGTAACTTTTCAGGTTTATTAGTCTCGAGGGCGGTGCTTCTTATTGAAACAAAGTTCTCGCCACCTTGACTAATTGGAAGGATACGTTTCTTTCCTTTTCAAATTGCACAGATTTCTCAGGTTTTTTTCTCCTTCTTCTTCTTCTTCTTCTTCTTTTTTTTTTTTTAATTCTTTTTTTGATGCGATAAATACCATCGATTTCGAAGCGATGCCAAGATCCGATATCTGCGGTGGTATAAATGGTGCAAGGGAATTTTCCAAGGGAAGGGAATTTTTTAGATATTTTTACGCTGAAAATTTATATCCCCGGGGTTTTGACTGTGGAAATCTACGTAGAGGCCAGGATTTTTATAAAATGACAGTTGGACTTGACAGTTCCACCGCTGGATTTCAGATTGAAAATGTTTAATATTGTATTAAGATCCAAAGGGGCAAAGAATTTTATTCGCGCGATAAATATCGATATCGATATCGATTCATATCGAATCGAGAAGATTGTATACTACGTGGTAAATGGGAACAAGGGGATTTTGTTCAAAGAAAATCTTTGATATTTTTTTTAAATATAATATTGTACCCTTTGAGTTTTGAGGAAAATATAAGGATTCACTGTATAAAGATTCGAAAGAAGTCCCATCTTTTCTATAAAATTTAATATTTTAGATGTATTTCAAAATATAAATATAAAATTAAAATCCATATGAAATAGTTTAAAATAATAATTTAAAAAATTCACATTATTAGAAATATAATATATATGCTTAAAATATTCATCAATATTCTAATTATTTACTCTGACTATTTAAAAAGTAGCTTAATTAAGTAATTTAGTTAGATTAACTGCTTGAAAAAAACTCAATCGTGATTTTCACGCTTTAACTTAAATCAAACTGAATTTGTTCTAATTCATATTGTAACTATTCACAAATTTGTTGCCGAGTAAACAAAGTTTATTTTTATGCCAAAATAACGATTACTCCGACGTAATCGAAAGTCATTTTATTAAGTAAATTCGCGAAACGTTCGAGTTCCATCTTGATTTTCCGAATTTTGGGTTCGCTTTTTCACTTCT